GTGTACCGTCATTGATTAAATACAGGGTGATAACAAACGAATAAGTTGGTTTCAAATATCTGTATTTTTTAAACGGTACAGAGCTGCGTGACCTCTTAAAATGACTGCTATAACCTAAAGTTTTATTAAAAATAAAAAAAATTATAAATATTCAATATGTCCTCCTTAAGTCACCCAAACAATGTCAAGTTGGTATGTTTCAGGGTTGTGTGTGGATTTTGTTCATCCCAAATTATCCTAGCGGTAACCTAACCTAACTTGAGGTTACAGTTGTCATTTTAAGAGATCGAGCAGCCTGTAGCTGTACCATTTAGAAAATACAGATTTTTGAAACCGACTTATTCTTTTGTAATCACTCGGTACAATTGTATTTATATTTGCAATTAATCAATGGTACCGTGGAATGAAGATTTAAATGAAGATTGAAGATTTAAAAAAATGAAAAATGATTAAATTATATAAAAAAAAGTTTGTAACCGTTTGTAATAAGACAAGTTATACTCGTGGTTAGATAATTTTTTTATTATTCTGTTCTGTTTAATGGTTTTTATTAATGTTTCTTAGGGCACCGTTAAAGGGGTGTGGGGGGCGAAGCCCCCCGCAGTAATGTGAGGGATATTAAAATCTAGGGACGCTACTTTTTTAAAGTACCTCTACTACTTTCTTCTCAAGTCAAGCACTGGAAATACAATGGATTTCAACAACACAAAATAATAGATAAAGATAAACAATATTTATACAATTGGATTATTTAAATAATTAACATAAGCTTCTAACGAATTTTTAACAAATAAATCAATATTATTTTTATTTACTAGTCGCATTATGTGATTTAAAAGGGGCATCACGACAATAGTTTAAGAAAGGTCAACAGTCTTCCCTGTGTCATCTATTATTTCACTAACATTTTTTATATTTTTCTATAATATAATATGATATTTGATTAGATTCCAAACTATTTTTAAATTATTTCGTGAATTAATAATTTTAGTACCATAACACATGTTTTTTGCCATATACAATAGCTTATTCAATAAATCCCTGTACTTTATAAACTACTTTATTACATATTACAATGAATTATTGCATTTTCGTTTTATTACAAATTGTCCTCTTAGTTCTGATTGAACTAAGCCATGTCGTGTAATCCTGACAGACGAGGCAACTTGTAAACGGACATCAATGGCTAAAAGAAAATTTGAATATTACCGCTAAGTAAAGAAAATAACAAATGATTATATACTAATAAATATTAGAATACGATGTGGTGATTTCTGATAAAAACTGGGCATTATTATTGTGTATTTTCTTTTTTTATAAAACAATTAATTAATATATATATTTTTTAATGTAACTACAGTAGTGATAGAGTAAGTAATGTGCTTTTGGTGATGCTGAAGGCTGCTATGCCACCTTATTATTATGACGATGAATCCACATCCGGCAAAACATATTTGTTTTGCTTTCTAGTCATATGTTGTTTTTTGTACTTATATGTAAAAACGACTACTATAAAAACCGTTTCTGGTGACTTAATGGGCCGGCTAAATAAACAACATTTGATTTACTTGAATGTTAAAAACAATTACTAAAATTCAGTCACCATAGATAAAATATTGGCATTGAGCACAAACCTTAGAAAGTGACTTAATTTGTAAGTATAATTTGGCCCTTTCGGTTCTCATTGGTGTACTCGATGAAAAAAAGATTTGGTACAAAATATGTAATAAATGATTATACAGAAAATTGTTTAGTAATATTTCAATATATTAATTATGAAGCATAATATTTTATTCATCATAATATGTGGTATTATCGACAAAAAAAGGAGGTAAATTTTGGTCTGGGAAATTCCCAGGGATTGGATACGACAACGCCATAACCGACTTGATGAAATCTAGGTCAACGCCGACCATCCATTCTTTGACTCGTTGGACGAAATTTACAGCCGAACCATGATTTTTCTTTAAAACGGTCTTGAATTTTTCCAACATGTATGCCTCGGTCAAGATTTGCGGAATGTTTTTTTCGTCTATCTGCGAGACTTTGCAGCCCGGAAACTTCGATGAGATTTTCTCCAAATCTAATCGGATACGTTTCTTAAGTGCATCGTTAGTCGCCTGCTGGGGACTTTGGACTTGCAAGAAAGTTAAAGTCTCCGCAAAGGTCTGGTCGTCTTGTAATCCGGTTATGTCGACAAAAGAGGTGACCGTCTTGTGCATTGCAGCGTCCACTTCCTGTCTGTTTCCGTCGGCGACGGCAAGCAACAAGTGAATGTGTACCATTCGCAATACGACCATTTTCAACAGAGACAATACCACCGACTGATACCGTTTTATGCCTTCCAACGCGGTGTACAGGTTCGTAGGATCCGTGGCCTTGAAGTACGCTTTTAAAAACTTCCCTGACACATCGCCCCAAATTTCGCCGTAGGGGCCAAATACATTCATGACCACATCAAAATTATAAGCGACCTCGTATAGGTTTTTATAACTAAAGAGCAAGTTGTCGACATCGATCTGTTCGTAGGATTTGTTTGCTGTGGTGACACGCGCCAGATTCCGACGAATTAGGCGCAAGTGTTTTTTAATCTTGCCTGGAAAAAGTTGAAGCATCTCAAAACTACTATCATCAGTCAAGGAGAATTCGTTGTCACCCGGACAGTCCTGCATGGACTCTGTCATTTGTCCGATGATCATTTCTTCCACACATTTCATTTGTCCCTCGTTAAAATCATTATTATATAAAGAAAAATGTTTAACGTACAAAGAAAACAGCCACACCGGATACAGGATCCGGCGGTCGTAGTTGGCGTTCATGTTGTAGAGTATCAGCAAAGCGTCTTTTGAAATGTTTTCGATCTCTTTGAACCTAAACCGGTTGGAGGCATCCAGCGCTGTTGCTCGCATGATCGAAAGACATATTGTTTGAATTCCGCACCGTGTGTTTAACTGTATCTGTTTCTCTGTGCTGGCTAGATCCTGGCTGGTGCTTGGATCGGGATTGTCGTATCCCAGTGTCAAGTAAACCAAAAAATTATCGTAATCTTCCCCAAATGATAGTCTTTTGCAAACCGGTTTGAACGCCCCGTATACCGAGTTCAGAGTATAAAAGTAAAACAGCAATGTCGTCGACAATAGTAAACAGCCACGGTGATCCATCTGAAAAGCTTATAGTTTTTTTAATATTTCAAGTACTATCAAAGTGGATTCCGTCGCACAACAGAGTAGTACTTGAAGAACACAATAGATCTGAACACCATCACAATACATATCATATTTTTCACCAAAATAGCAAAAGACAAACATAAAAAACAAATAGTGTTCACACGATTCGGCAGCATATTTTCATAGTTGTTTTTGTGAAAGCTTAAATATTATTACCAAAACGGATAACAACTATAGTCTTTTACGCACATAGTCTTAGGACGGGAAGGGGGCTGAAGGGGTTTAGCGCCACAGAATTTTGAACACGTCCAATATTTTTGTCATTAAAAATGGTAGAAACCCTGTTAAATGATGCCCATTTAGTGGCACCTACGAACAAATAATATGTTCTTATACTGCTCGAACTGACCAAAAAGGATAGGATAAATATTTTACATGACTGTACAACATGACTTTTTGATTCACATGCATAATGATGGTTGGAATTCAAATTTCTCGTTATACTCGATATGGTTTACAGAAAAGATGAGCGACTATTAATTATACATATTACTAATATTATTGATAAACTCATGCGACTAGTTGTAACTTTGAATTCGTAGGTAATTTAAAGTGTTGAATAAAAAAATTCGATTTGTGCAATATTTTTTATGCATTTATAAATACATAAACTCCATTTTAATCTTGTAAGTTGTATGATTATTATCTCAAATAAAATATCCAGGGAATTTTCTACAGTGGAGACAGTTCAAAATCATTTATGAGTATATTTACTAGTGTACTAACAATTGGCTCAAAAAGAAAACAATATCGAATAATGGTTAAAAAAAGTATAATAAAACTGAATTATAAACAAAATTTACTATTAAATGCATCTTCGTTTATTAGTTTCGAATATAATACACACAAAACAATACTGCGATATATTAGTTTTCGATTTTAAATTAAATGTCCAAAAGTTGAAATATTTTCGTTGGACGGATTTTGTTTTGTTTTTTTTTCTATAAAAGAAGAACGACTGAGAAGACACATTTGTCAATAATATTCGTAAATGGTAATGTGTATTATTCGTAGTTAATTTATTGAAAAAAAATATTAAATAGGTACTTTCAATTACTTTATTTAATAGAATGACAGTATATCATAATCACATATTATACTACAAATTATAACTATTACATTGTTTTACATTATTATGGCGAACAAAACATTTATATTTTTAATACAATTTTAATGGAAGAGCTCACGCTGAACTTGGTGGCCGTCACGTGGAATCCGCCTGCTCCACATCTAAGGGCCTCTCCCATTGTAGGCTACACCCTGGAATATTACAGTTCGGACTTGCATGTCGTAAAGAGGCGAAAATACCAAGACAATGGATGTAGACAAAAGTAATAGGTCTACTCAAACAGTCAAACCATGGAAACTACCGAACGACCTTAAAAACTTCAGACCCATTTCCCTGCTTTGTCACTTATTTAAATATTATATGAAAGAATGATTCTGAATAGAATATCCCTCCCAATAATAGAAAGTGGGCTCATCTATTAATTTTTTTGTGTTGTGTTTTACCATTGATTATTATATAATATTGTTATTATTACAATATATTATAATTAATGAACATTTTACTCATATACCAAACTTACATTCGTATATACTCTATACTACATACATAGTATAAATTATAATATAGTATTGCAACAATCAGATAAATCATTGGTCATTGCCATTTTAATGAATAGCCGATATGCGCGGTCCATATTGTTATCAAGTCTATGAATAAAATATGATAACTAAAACTGATAAGCCGACGGCAGTCGCCAGTGAGCAAGTCCTAACAGCTCTGTTGATTTATGCTTTGGCTGGAGTGAAGATATTATACTAATTAGTAATTACACGTGACGTAATAGAGATACTAAAAATAATTGTTCGTTTATAAATTAACTGTACTCTACGCATATAGTTTGCAATAATAATAACCATGTCCAATAATATTATACAGTGTTATAGCTTACAACACGTTTAAAATCCTGATATTTTTTTTCGCTAAACAGATGAAATACTTTATTAGGAAAAATATGAATTTTAACTTTTGACAAATTTTAAAATGAATTTTAAAAAAAGATTTATATTCTTACTTATATTTATAGTTTTAATTTTGTGTTTTATACTATATATTTTACTAGAAAACCAAATTAGTAATGTATGTTTCAACCTGACATTAGTTTTACCAAAATTATTAAAATATTTTAATTTTTTAGCAATATGGTGCAAAACGTTTTTATGCACACCTTCAGAATGTACACAGCCACTTAGACAAGGATTATTTATCTTTTGGTTATGATAAAATTAACTACTTAGATAGTAGTAATCCAGAAGTGTTACAGACAACTAATGAGCTAACGGTAAACACATCTTTTAATACATTTTACTTTAACATGCTCGAGTATTTCTTATGAACTTATGAAGATAATATTTTCTTAGAGTGATATGAATAAAAATTCCAAAGAAACAAATGAACATGCTACTTTTTTATCAAATAGAACGTGCGTACCAAATATTGATGTAAGAAGTGATATTTAATAATCTAATTTAACCAATACATTTATAGTTATAAATAGAGCATATTACTATATTTGATACTTATAAAATCATTATTTAAATTAAATTTGTAATCTTATTATATATTTTTTTCATGTTAAATTTCTAAATATGTCAGTGATTCTATACTTTTTTTTCTTTAATATGATCATATTTTGCACTATGTTAAGATGCTGAAAGTTTATGATGCATTGCCATTTGATAATATTGATGGTGGGGTATGGAAACAAGGCTGGAATATTCGTGTGACGGAGAATCGTTGGAGTTTAAATAATAAGTTAAGGGTGTTTGTTGTTCCACATTCTCATAACGATCCTGGATGGAAACACACTTTTGAAGATTACTATCGTAAAGATACAAAAAATATATTAAATAATATGGTCATCAAATTGTCTGAAGACCATCGACGTAAATTTATTTGGGCAGAAATATCCTATTTTTCACTTTGGTGGAAAGATATAAACCAAGCAACTAAACAAAAAGTGAAAAAGTAATATCAAGGAAAATTGTCATATTTAATTTACCTAATAATAGATTTTTTTTGCTATAGATTAATTACGAATAATCAATTAGAAATTGTTACTGGCGGTTGGGTTATGACAGACGAGGCAAATTCACACTATTCATCTATGATAACGCAACTTGTAAACGGACATCAATGGCTAAAAGAAAATTTGAATATTACCGCTAAGTAAAGAAAACATCAAATGATTATATACTAATAAATATTAGAATACGATGTGGTGATTTCTGATAAAACCTGGGCATTATTATATATAAACAAAACATCAAATAATTATTAAAAAAAAAAAAAAATTATATCAGATTTATATTATATATTGATATAAATATGTTTTTATTTAAAAGGTATTTTGTTTTTCAGATATAGTTGGTGTATTGATCCATTTGGCGTATCCCCAACTATGCCGTACATCTTAAACCGTATGAATTTATCTGGATTGGTCATTCAACGCACACATTATTCAGTTAAAAAATATCTAGCTAGAAGCAAACAATTGGAATTCCAATGGAGACAACGTTGGGGTATATAATGAAATATTTTGAAAACTTAAAATTACCATCTATAGATCAACAATTTGTATTCAAATTACAAGGGTTGACTTTTTACTCTTTAACTAAAAAATACATTTTTTTTTAAAATAAATATTATGTTTTTTGAATCTTACAATAATTTTATACACTAAAAGTAAAATAGTTGGTCAGCTATTGAAGCTAAAAGGTTTAAAACAAAATCTTTTGGAGGAGTTTTTATTTCTGGAACAAAAAAAAAATCTATTTGTCCCTAAAAAGTTTTTATGTATGAAATGTTTGTCCGATGTAGAAAAACATATTTTACTTTTGAAAAAACTTTTTTTTTTGAGAGTAAAATGTGAATTTTGCCCAGATCTATATCTGGGCAAAATTAATTTTAAAAGTTTGTTTGTATTTGTATTTTGTGCTTTTAGACGACGAATGCAGTAATAGTAATGCGATGTTTACACACATGATGCCATTTTATAATTACGATATACCTCATACTTGCGGTCCTGATCCAAGTATTTGTTGTCAGTTTGACTTTAAGAGATTACCCGGATTTGGAATCACTTGCCCGTGGAGATTGTATCCAGTACCGATCACTCCTCGTAACGTTAAATCAAAGTAAGATTAGTATATATTTTGTTTCACTGATTTGTAAAAGCCATAAATGTTCAAACAATTGATATTTACCGTTTTTAATCAGGGCGTTATTGTTGTTGGATCAGTATAAAAAAAAAGCAGAATTATATAGAACAAATATATTACTGGTACCTTTGGGAGATGATTTTCGTTATACGTCAGCACGTGAATGGGATCACCAAATGAACAACTACCAAAAACTATTTGATTTTCTCAATGAAAATAGCAATACATTGCATGTAGAAGTTAGTATTTTTTTTTTTAAACACACCAATTTTACCAATGTATTCTGTTTTAGGCTAACCCGTTTCTTATTATTATTATTCTTAGGCGTCATTTGGTACGTTAAGCGATTATTTTGAAGCTGTAAAAAGCTCAACAGTTACAAATAATTTCCCGACATTAGCTGGTGATTTCTTTACATATGCTGATAAAGACCACGATTATTGGAGTGGATATTTTACATCCCGTCCGTTTTATAAGTGTATGGACCGTGAACTAGTTGCTACGTTGAGGTATGAAAAATATTGTATTTGTATTGTAAACATTCCTGATAATGGTTTAAAACATTAAAATGTGTTAACAATTATTTTAGAGCAACAGAAATATTATATTCGGCTGTGTGGTTGAGTTCACCTTCATACATGACTGATTGGTTATGGCAGCCTAAATATAAGTTGTGTGACTATTTGCAAGTAGCAAGAGATGCTCATAGCTTGTTTCAACACCATGATGGAATTACTGGCACTGCAACAGATGCTGTAGTTAAGGATTATGCTCAAAAGTAAAACTATACCATCAATCATGCATTTGTATAAGCATTTATTATATTAACATTAATTTTAGAATGTTGGACGCATTGAAAAACTTGCATCATATAATTCAACATTGCATACATTTCCTATTACACCCAGCAAAGGTATGGATTTCATATATTTTTTTTAATAAATATTAATTCATTACTCAACTTAAGCTATTACAAAATATATAGATATTAACTACCTTATTGCAACATAGGCGATTTATTTTTGAAATTATTTCTATTTGTCATATTTTGTATTAAAATGTTATTGTTTTTAATTTTCACAGTTTTTCCTTTATTCATTTATTCTTTGGCCTAAAACGCTATTATTATAAATCACTCGTATGAAATAAAATTAAAATAAAACGATGTCTACTGTAAATGAGAATACAGAAAACTCATAAAATTTCATAATTCTTAAAATATATCAGAATCATGAGTTTGGAAAAAAATGGCCAAGAGAAAAGCAACATTTACGAAATAGTCTCAATTTCTCGTATTCTCATTTATAGTAATTGCTAATATTAAATTATTATTATATTTTAATAAATGAAACATAACTGTGTTTGAGCCTCTAAATAGAAAGCTTTATTCGACTATTTTTTTTTTTATTTAATAAAACTGAATTGTAAAAATATTGTCAGCTCATTATTTGTATATTTTTTTTTTGTAAACATACTTTCTAATACTTTAGAAATTTATCTATTTATTAATAAACAAAATAATATAGTAAATTTATAATTTTATAGGAGCGCTATGATTTTGATTTCGACAATGTTTATTTCGAAGCAGACGGCTCAAGAGTGAATACTAACTCTTTAACTCAAAACAATATAATATCATTTGATAATAAGCATTACAAAAAGAATATTGTTGTATACAACACTTTGGCGTCTACTAGACATGAAATAATAACAGTTATGGTCAACAAGGAAAATATTAAGGTAATTCAATTAATTATTTTACCAACATTTTATAAAGGTACAAAAAAAATCTGTGTCCAAAATAATATATTTTTATTGTGTGACATTCCTTACAGGTAGTTGATTCAGCTGGCAGAGCGGTTCCTTATCAAGTAGACACATCTTGTCTATTAAAAAACCAACTATCGTCAATAACACAATGTTTCCAGTTACATATTTATGCTGTTCTGGGCCCTTTAGAAATAAAGAAGTACACCATTATGAATTTGGATACCGATATTAATCATTTGTTAGTAACAATAATTTTATTTTATTTATTTTTTAAGAATCTTAAATAGCTTTTTTTAAAAATGTGGATTTTTGGATTCCCATTACTGAAATAAAATATATTATAATGTATTACATTGTAATATATTGTAATGTATAATTTTTTTTTTAGAAACTTCATTTCGGAAATAAGTGTTTACAATTATAAGAACAATTCAAATTTAGATCATAGAGTACATGTTAGAACAGATAAACTCAATGATTTCTCAATCGAAAACGATAAAATCATTGTAGCGTTCGACTCGAATGGGTTGTTAAAATACATAACACAAAAATTATCTGGTAATTCTTATCCGGTTTCATTGAAATTTGTCAGGTAATTGGATTTAATATATTATTTTATAATAAAAAATGGCGGTAAATGCGAGCGGCTACTCTAATTATTTATACTCACTAGTTGATACTATATCTATTTATATTAGTTTTTTTTTTTTTAAATAGCTGTAAGAGTTAAAAACAAATAACAGGAGTATTGCCAAAAAATGTACAGTTAAACTTTATAAATTATTCTTATTTTTTGATTATTAACCGTTTAGGTATGGCGTTGCAAAAGGTAACGATATGAGTGGAGCTTATCTGTTCATGCCATCGGGTAGCGCTAAAGATGCTCATAATTTAGAGAAGCCCACAATATATGTTATCAAAGGGAATATTTTATCTCAAGTAATAGTTCAATTTAGTAATGTACGGCATGCTGTTTTGATACGCCACATAGAAGGTAATATATTTCTTCAATTTCTTTATGGTTTTTTTTTTTTATAATGTCGTCTTCCCCCCAATGTTTAATAATGGACTATAGATTTAGAAGTCTAAATGTTTTACCATTATTTTTCATAGGTGTAAATTATATAGAGATTAGAAATTTAGTAGACATAAGGAATCAACTGAATTACGAACTGGCAATGAGGGTAACATCGGAAGTAAACAATCAAAATATCTTTTACACGGACTTAAATGGATTCCAAGTATGAAATGGATAAATTTTTATTTAATTTCATTATTGTTGCTTTATGAATGTAAACCTTTTTATATTTTTGTTATTTTCATAGATGACCAAGAGAAAACATTTTGGCAAATTACCGATACAAGGAAACTTTTATCCCATGTCTAGTGCAATGTACATAGAAGATAAACATGTTAGACTATCATTATTATCTACTCAGCCACTGGGCGCATCCTCATTACGCAGTGGGGAAATGGAGGTATATTATAAATTTATATAAGTTAAGGCTTAATTTGGAACTTAAATAATTTTTTATTATAAAAATTAAAATAATAAATGAAATTATTGTATCTTTATTTGAACAAATTAAAAAAACAAAATTATGACACAATTTTATTATTATAAATTATTAAATTTTATTATTTAACGAAGAAAATTATATAAATATGTTTTCAATCTCAACTCTATATAATTTTTTATTTAAACAAAGAAATAAAAGGTCATTTAAAGCAGTTGACTAATAAAATATTAATACCTAACACCTAACCTTTATATGATTAAATTATTTTACAGGTTATACAAGATCGACGATTGACTCACGACGATAACCGTGGATTAGGGCAAGGAGTTATGGATAATGTGCCCACTCTTACGCTCTTTAGACTACTCGTAGAAGAACGTATTGATGATTGTCAGGTGATATCGCTTGTTAGAAACTTTACATAGCGTTGATAAAGATTTATTTGAAATTTAAATGTTTTTAGACATTGAATGAACCGTACTTGACCGATGATGGAATGATGTCGATGTCGACATTGCTCTATCCTCCATTATGGTATTTGGAAAAAGATGCGAATAGTTATGATTTGACAAATGGGTATAACATGTCGTTAATGTTGCCAAGTGACGTGCATTTGGTCACACTTACATTATTAACTCAACAGAAGACGCCAACTTCTGGTATGATTTTGCACAGACCGCAAACTACTAAATGTTTTGGTTCGGCAGAAATAAATAATCATTCAAGTACTGTAAGTATTGGAGTTCAATGTCGTTATTTCAAACAATAAGTTAAAGATATGTTATTATAACTTACAGGTTAGCTTGAAAACATTACTGTCTCCTACCACTTATAATTTAAATGTATATGAATCCTCATTGTCTTTTGTACACACCGGACCAAAAGTTGATATTAGTAAACCACAACATTTAAAGCCAATGGAATTAAAAAGTTATCTAATAACAAAATGACAACATCTGGGTACTTTAAAATCAATTTATTTCTTCCGTGATTTTTGTTAAATTTAATTGATCTCATCAAATAGCGTTTTTATTGTTTTTATTTTTTAACTATTTATTATTATAATATATTGCTTTATCTCGACTATTGTTCGAATCTCACAAATATTGTTTTATTTGTTTGAGTAGTAAAATTTGTTTGTATCCAATTATTTTTACTACTACACCATTAATTGATTTCAACTAATTTATGCCAAAGGGTAGGGTACAACTAGAAACTATGGAAAGGGGTTGTGAAAAATATTGTATAACCAAATTGTAAGTCAATAATTATGAATTTCATTAAAAAGTGAAAAATATGTATATATTCAGAAGGACTATTCTGAAGCGTCTGCTGTAATTGTGCTTATAATCAATATTATTGCCAGTTTTATTAACAGCATTTTTTTTTTTAAATTACATATATGCAAAATAACAATTATTTACTATAACATTAATATAAGTAATGAATTAATTTTAGAAAATTGTGATAAATGTAGCACTAATTGTATTGTATTCAACACACCTCGCTAAAAATGAAATAAGAAATATTTGTGTACTTTGTATGGTTAAATTGTAAAACTATTACTACCAATATTAATCAGGGCTTGGAAGTTATAGCATTTATACATTTTTTTTTTTTTTGTAAATCTTAGAACATCCCAAAGTAAGATATAAATTATTTTCATACTTCTTTGATGTCTTCAACAAATTTTTTTTGCATATTCACATGCATTTTTTTGGCAATTTCATTTTGGTATTTTTAAGTGTATATTAAAGCGCTAAAAAGTATTTTTTGTTTTTGTTAGTGCTTTAACTTTCGGGCCCTGTTAATAATAAATGTATACGGTTGTGTGCACATAGCTTTTCATTACACACAATACATTTTTTGTTGTTTTAAGTGAAAGTATATTATTGAATTGTTGGGATAAATTGTTCTTACAAAATTAAAAAATAAATAAAAGTATTTAAATACACGTAAATGCAATAAATTTATTTATTGTAGTACAGGTTGTGCAACGTGGAATAATCCTTTTTTGACATGCATAACGTAAGTTTACAGGACTGGTAGAAAGTCCATTTGAACGTTATTTTACTCTCCACGACATGTCAATGTACAATTAGTAGCCGTCATGCCTTTGTAGACTTCAAATCATCGTGTTTACGCTTACACAGAGTTGTAAAAGGTAGTATACATTGTGTGTTAATAAAATTATATAACATAGCCTTCAGTAAAACTACAATTTTATTCACTCAAATACTTATTATAAAAATGATATAAGTACAAATATTATATAAAATATATATATATATAGCAAAAGTCTTTAGTGTCATTTAAAATACAGAATATAGCACAGATTTTGGGAATGGACGAATTGCAATTTCAATATTATAATTAATGTATACGCACAAATATATTTTCCATAAAAGTGTAAAATTAAAATAAACTATGAGCATAAAATAATAAATTATAAATAAAAATAATTTGTAGTCATTCATTTTATAAAACAATAATAATATTATAAAATACCATATAATTATAAATACACAGTATTAACCAGTCTCCACTAAACGAGTACAAATTTATAAAAGTAAACAAAAAGTAAAACGAGAGTTCTTTGGAAGACTAGAAACCTATATTACTTTTGTTCCGTAAAAACGTCAGAAATCAACTGTATTAATATATATATATTAATACAGCTAATTAGGATATAGGAACAGACTTTCATGTTACAAATTCAATATGATTGTGTAAAAAAATTGAATCGTGAAATAAAGGCCCTAGATATATAACATTTAAGAGTTGTTAAAAAAATACTTAAATGTAAATTTTTACAACATCTAGGGCAAAAATTATTATTGGTTTTATGGAAAAAAAAAAAAAAATGTACGCAATTTGTTCACAAACAATGTGACATCATATCGCATGACTAATAAATAAACTATAAAGCATAATATAAATAATGACTAATAGATATTGAAATAGTTTTTGTTTTTAAATACAATTTTGATGACTCAAAACTATAATTCAAATTTTTTTTTTTTTTATTATTGTGTATTTTAGATTTTAATGAGCAATTTTTTGTTTCATATAAAAACTGTAGAAAAAGAAACGTTTTAGTAAAAAAATATTCATAGTATGTGCATTTGTACCGAGTTCATAAATTCTCGACAGTAAAACAAAAATTGTATTTATCATAATATAAATCGATATTTGTATATTATAGCTTTGGCAAATGTTTCAAACATGTTTCTACTCTTATAATTAAATCGTTATCTCTGTGAACTATGATCACTTTTAGAACTATAAATATAAATAATTTTATCATTGTTGTTTTTTTTAAACCGTGTAAAACACCGCTATTGTATATTGCACCACAACAGTGAAAATATTAGGTACAAGATAAAGACTTCAATAACCTATAGGCTGCCTACTCGATTAAAATATCATATGCACAGATCAATGTCATTCCATACAATGTAAATTAGTATAATGAGAAGTAAAACTAACAAACACAAAATTTAAGTGGAAGTTAGGTTAAGGTTTGCATACTATAATTTAATCATATTAATATTCCCATTTAGTAGCATTGTTGTAATCGCCATCGCCTAGTTTAAACATGCCATTTTTACCAGCAGATAAATAATACCCCGAAACACTCTTAATGCATATTCTTGTAGGCTCTCTTAGTTCTAAGAAAAAACCTTCAGGAATATCCGCTTCCACTGATACGCCTTCGTCATTGGCATGCCAATATTTGTTTGTTTGACCTAAATAAACGCCAGCAAATTTAAATTAGAATAATATTATACAAATTTAAGGGAGAAAAGTTAGTTTTAATTAATTTTAAATTATAATATTACCTTTGAAGAAAACTATTCCTCGGTCAGAACGTTCTACCTGAATTGTCTCGTATGAAGCTTTGTTACATTCAAGACGTAAACTTGTCGATGATTTATAGCCCACAAATCCTTGTTCACATTTCAAAACCAAAATGGGTCTAAACAAAATAAACATGTACTGATGTGCTGTCCATAAAAATCAATAGAAAAAAATATAAACACAAACCTGTTGATCAAATAAAAGAAATATTTGCAAGCATCGTCGATAGCATCGACATTAGCATAAAGATGACCCGACCGTTTTGTCGATACATATTTGCCATTGTTAGCCCTGAAGCATACAGAGCCATCTCCTTGCCAAGCCAACTCGAACAGTGCATTCGATGACCTAAAATAAAACAAATATAGTGGTATTGTTTAGAATATACAACAGTCATTTCGATATTTTACCACATTGATTAAGTATGTGCAATTTTATACTACTAAGTACGTACTTTTTATCAGCTACGGCTTGAATTCCGCCACCAGTTTCCAGTGTCCAGTATCTATCTTGCATTGTACGTATATACCATCTTTTCGTCGACGGGTCAAATTCTAGTTGAAAAGTCTCATGGTCTGATATTTCATCTTGATTGGCCGTTACATCCACACCTGTTGATAAAAGTAATATAAATTATCAAACATTTGATGTAGCAACTATTATTGTATAGAACTTAAGTGCGTTAAGATATCTTCTTTTTTTTTTTTTACTAAAGTACCCATGATTTCTTTTATAAGTGGCCTAATTTATATACTATTAACTATGTAATTAATTATACATATGAATGTTATTGATTACAATTACATTATGTCATGTGTATTACCTAATACAGTCATCAATTGTATCATTTACGATGAAAAAATTTGATATTTTAATTTTTGTTATAAACATAATATCTTAATAATAATATTTGCAACAGACATCGACAATTTACAAGATAATAATTGCTTCTTAAACTTTCTAATTTGTACCTCAGATCATAAGTCACATTATACCAACTTTTCACGAGTCCTTAAAATCTGACAAGGAGGATAATTCTGTTAGCCTAGTTCCGAGGTACAAAAATGTTATTGACGAGTAACAATATTAAAAAAAAATATGCAATAAATAATAACAACCAAAAAGCATCGCTCTATTTATTGTAAAAGTAAATAACGAAAAATATGTTTAGGTAGGTACACGTTTTAGCTAGCGTAAACGCGGATAAGTAACAATGAAATGTAAAACATTATTATTATAATTTTTCTTTTTTTGTCTTAACAACATCTAGAAATTGTCGTGTTTATTGGACTGAAACTCTAATTAGTTGCATTAATGCGGTACAAAATGTACAATGTACATTTGCACACTCCACAACATAATGGTAGGTGCTGTGAAATAAAAATCATGTCTTGTAATTTATCATAAAAAAATAAACGAGCAGCAATCATGGTTAGTTCGGGAAATTTTTCATTAAAACACAAAAATACCACAATAGAGAGAGTACTTTATAATAGTTTCGACCTTTAATGGCAATCAGAAAATAACACAGGCGAACAATTTGAATGGGTGAGCATGGGTTACATTAAGTTCCAATTATAATATTTTCGGTGTAAAGGCGTCTTTCAATAGTTTAATGTAAAATTGCGCCCCTGGAAAATAATATAACGATTCGAAATAATGTATTGATTCTTATGTGAATGAATTATCATCAGGAAATCCTAAGATAATAAATAACGGTTATGGACTAATCCAATGCTTTAATAAACTATGGGTTTTACTCGCAAAATCATCTTTGAAATAGTAGTGTTTGCACTTAGATAATTTTAAAAAATAAAATGTTTTGACTTTGGACAAGAGAAACGTTAGAGATTAGTATATTGTGTGATTAAATAGATACATATGTATGGAACACACGGTGTGCAGTTCACAGAAATCAGTTGAACAAATAAAAAAATTGTTCGTTTCCGAAAAAAAACGTCAATGTAATATTATTGGTTAGCAAACGATTATTTTTCTCCTTTCTTAGCTCTGAATCTACGTTAAAAATGTATATTCTCGGCAAATAACAGTTAATTGTTAGTAAGGATAGGAATGCTGTTTTTTTTAATTACAGGAGGGGTTAAACGGTTGTGGTCATTGAAGTAATATAAAAATAAAATCGATTGATGAACAAATGTCTAACAATATTGTCAAGAAATATATTATAGAAAAATCTCGAGAGAAACAAAGTCGACAATAAAAACTCGAGCCAAATAAAAATCAAATACAATATTATTTTTTATTTAGTATTTATTTATAGTATTTTGGTCGATATTTATTCACATTTTTTTCAAATAATTATAATAAACAAAATCGGAACTACCAATGGATTATTGATAAGTGTTGACAAAAAAAAATTATTTAATTTAGAGTATAATTTAAATTATCTAAACACGGTCGTTGGTTTGACCTTAATAATATTACCATTGATTATAAATACAAATAAATAAATATAAATTGTACTTATAATCAACGATATTACTATTTTCTACACAAAAGATAATCGTTAACGACGTTCTCTTATCTTTATCGATGCCTTTTTTTTTTGATAAACATGCGAACAAAAAATATATTTTTTAATATACGGTTCAATTTCATAAAATGGTTCACACTCACAGATTAGAACGTCATTTTAAAATGAAATAATAAAAGCATTTACATTTATTGTCGGTGGTAATCGGTATCTCATATCTGTCCATTTAAAATTTTACAAATTAAACGACATGGTTCAAATTATTATTATTATTTACTTGTGACTTAAAGTAGTACGATTTTCCAAAAAAATAAAAAAAATTTGTTTCAAATAAAATTTGTGGACCTAAGATTTCCTATGTGAACCAACAGTTTTAAAAATTACATAATTTATGAGCTGTGAAAGTTTGACCACAGGATTTTGTCCCTCTACTTAGACGGGCATGAAATATTCTGGCGAATTTTAAAGCCAAACTTCTTCTGTAGCAAGAAAATATATACTATTTGAAATGTTCATTCTTATTATTTTAATTGTTCATATAATATAAACGTATATATTTTATATTCTATACAGCCATTATGTTAATTGTATATACATTTACATATAAAATACTGTGTTTTTTTATACATTGTACACTTGTACATGTATATTTTTATTGCTATGTCCATTAATGGTAAACGAAAATTCATGCAATTATTTTGTATTCATTCCTTTTATTTCGATGCGATGCCGAAAAGGTATTTTTTTTTTTCCATTTACGAGACCGGAAAACGTAGAATTGTTTTTTTTTCTCTCTAAACGAACAACAATTACTAACCTATTTGTGTTAGGTTAGTTAAAACGACATCAGACAATTTTCTACTTTAGTATCTGGATGAGTGACCAAGTAAATGCATGCTGTACACAGGCCGGGACAGCTGTCAAAGATCCCGATTGTGTATTAATGAAGTGTGACTAATCATCATAATCGTGTATAATAATGAAGTGTCTATATTTTAAACATTGCAGAGTGGATATTTTCCTGTCCATTTTTAAATATAATATATATTATATTATTAGAGACTACGGTCGGTCAGACGAACGGCGCCAAGTCGTTATCTCGTACACCAAAAATCCGTAGGCCAATTTGTAATCGCCAGCATTATCATCATATTATTTTCCTTGTGATTTAATCTCACGCGAGAACTGCGATTTCGGCCTCCCACGAATGGCTCCCCTTTTCAAATATTATCTATTTAAAGATGGGTACACGTTATGGACAGTATCGATCAGCTGAAGTACAAAATGACTGTACAAAACCATACGAAAACTCAAGTAGGAAGTCGACACAAGTTTATTAATAGAAAACACGTTTGTTTAAAGGGCTCAGCAAACAGAGGGATCATTTTTTTCTTCTTCAATGCTATCACACCGTTTGACTCGCGTAAATCAATAGAACACTTTCATTTGTTTATTTTTCGGTATTCGAAAGAAACGATGATGCTCACATACACAGTCTACAATATTAGTGTTAGTATTTTAATACTAAGAAAAACAATCGTGTGAAACGAAAAAATAGTCATGATTTTTTATGACTTTGCTATATTGACACGTCGTTTGCTGTTAGTAATTAAAAAAAAAAACAATGTCAGAACTCATCATTCGTGTATAATCGGTGATTTATATTCCACTTGGTTACTAGAAGTCACAATTGGTACCGAAATTGTTTTATACATTATGCGAGTACTCGTGTGCCTTCTCTTTCGACGATGACGATATTTGTATTATAATATTTCGATTTCTATTTCAAATGTTTGGTTAACATCAAAAAATGATGTTGTTTTTTTTCCTGTTGATAATTTGATATACACATACAATACACAATGGTTGGAGATGACTGTGTACAATCATGTTTCCAACAACAGCTCCCGTTTGAATTAATTTAGCAGTAAAACCGGGATGACTCACGATTATCTCGGTTAGGAAGTATAATAACGCATTGCGGACACGAAGCCAAGTGGAAGCGAGGTCGGTAAAAACCATCTTTGAAAGTTAAACATATAAAAATTTGTATGTGAACGAGAAACATGTAGACGCTGCATTCGGGTAATTAACGAGTCATTCCTTAGAGAACGTATTTTGAACCAACGAAAAATGCGTCTCCTTCAGACCGTGTCAAATTAAAACAACAATTATAAAAACGAAGAAAAACCCGCCAGGTTTATTCACCTGTGTTATAATTGGCTTAATCCTAGGGCTATACTACTCGTGTAGGATGGAACGCGTAGCCGCGCCATTATTGTTATTATAATAATGGTAAGTACGGGAAAATGTATGTACACCGCAATTATTGTTGGCCAAGTGTGTGTTATATGCAATAAAATTATGTATGTAATAAACCGTTGCAAGTTTATAGACGATGTAAAAAAAATTCTTCAAATTGAAAACAATCGATACGAAAAAAAAAAAAGTAAACCTACGATTTTTAAAATGCATAAACCACCGAAGTCTGAACTGGCAAAATATTTTTCCCGGGAATTATTATTGCTATTATTATTTGTTTTTTTTTTTTTTTTAGATCTATGACCAGTTCACGTTTATTTTGTAAACACGATTTTTCAATCATCTTGCGATTTGTATTATTAAAAATTCTTGCGTTGTCAGTACATAACACGAAATAGCTGATATTATTATTCCATTCGTGTACTACATTATTATAATAATAATAATATGCACTTCCTTTCAAGCGACGATAACATGTTATGATGTTAAAAATCTACCAGGTGTAACAACGTAACATTCTCCAAGAATCAAGATATTATTATTGAAGAACACCGCCGCCGCCAACAACACACAAATGTGAATAATAATCCATAAATATAAAACCAACAGTAGATAAGTAGCGGATTTTTTCACGCATAGTTTTTTATTCGTCTATATTCACATAGAATACACATAAACATTTTAGAATAATAGGTGTATACAAACGGGTATTAAAACCTGTGCGAAATTTATACTCATTTTCGTTCCAACAAAATTGACAAGATGAAAAAATTGAAATTTAGTCGAAAAACAACCAATTATCATTTAAACAATAATGATAATAACATTTACGAACATTAATTAATAACGATAATGATATTTCACAGATTATAATTGGCTTTTTCTTAAAACAATAGTTATTACTACATGCGTTAAGCTTTTATAGTACTATTAAGCGCCTAAACTCTATTTTCAAATAAGCCATCAAATCTAATATTATTTTAAACGAAATGACCTCTCGGTTAAACGTCTAGCTAATGAGTAACACACATCTCATTTCAATTAGGTACTAGACAGTAGACTGTTATACTATAATTTTATATTATCAATTAAATTTTGACAACAATTAAAACGTGTAAACTACATTTGTTTTAACCCCATTTCGTGTAAAAAATAATTACTAGAATGCTCACTGACGGTAATTAAGTCATGGTTAGATAATTATATTATTAGTGAAACACAAACTGCTTAAATATGAAAATTCTATAATGCGGCTAATTGCGTAAATATGTGTTTATAGAAAATAAAAATGCAATAAAATTCTAAAACAGTAAAATTTTACGCCATCTTAACGAGTCGGAAATTATTTTTATTTCAGAACAATAATAATAGAGCTATAGTTTTTTTATGCTACAAGGGAATTTAACTTATCTCATACTACCTAAAAATTACAATTGTGAGAACAATAAACAAAACATGAAAGTCTCCATAATTATATTATTAGATGATGATTAACTCGTGAATAGAAGACGAGTAATATAATTCGCAAATGAAAACAATAAAGTGAATATTACACATTCGTGTCAATTATAAGCTAAAAAATAATGTGATTTTATTTAACTGAAAACAAAAAAATTATCTTTGACGGCCAGTAGACAGGCGAGACAAACGAACAAAGTAGTTTGAAGTTAGACATAATTATATGAAGTATGTGAACTGTAAAAAAAAAAATACCGATTACCAGCCATCGAAACATCTGTTCATAAGAAAATATTGCAAATGAAAATTACCGAAGTCCTAATAATTTATTATACGAATAGATATGTTGTATATATACTGCCATTGTAACATGCAGTTGATAATAATTAATTAGTATTTTAAACGTCTACAACAACAAAATTGCGATAATTTTAATTAAGCTTAAACAATTGCCATAGGTATTATATGCGTTGCATTATCAATGTAGAATGTATGATTAATGTATAAATAAACATTACAAAAGGTTAGGAGGTTCGCTTATCAACACTCTTTAGAAAAAAAGGAAAACAAATTTAATAACTTTTCTTGAAAATTAAAGAAAAATGATAGCCCATTCGAAAATAGCGAATGAAGGTACCTATTGAATTTGGGACCTATAAAGTTAACAATTAACATCTATACCAATTACTAACGATAAATAATTTCGAAAACGACATTTTGTCTAAAGTAAAGTTAGTGTGGTATACTGATGTATATTAAAATTAAACCGTCCAATTTTGGGATTAAAACGATTCTAATGAAATTAATTTTAAAAGAATTATCAAATTGCATTTATCTCAAATTAAAAATTGCGTTTTATTATACATTTTTGTCTACAAATTCGCAATTGATTTACTTATTATGAAAATATTCATTTGAAATTATTTTCGTGATAATTTTATCCTATTTAAACCTAATGATATTCTTACACTTCCTACAATGAAAATATGATTTGTGTTTAATAGGTGTTAGATAAACACTTCGGTCATCATTTTATAATTATAATTCATTTAAATTTAGTTAATAAAAATCTACATTTTTGAAATATGTATTAACTATAAAAAAAATGTATTTATTTATTTTTCATTTTTAGCAAAACAGAGAAAGGAAATAAAGACAAGATTTTAATATTATTTAAAAACTGTAGATTACAGTTTCTAAGAGAAATTAAAATTAAATTAGGATAAAAATAATGTACACAGTTAAAATATCTCTATCTGGAGATCTTTCACTTTTACAGTAATAAAAAAAATAACAGTTGACAGAACATTCTACAACACATGAAAATTCTATAGGTTAACTGAACAGGTTTTTTTATGAGAAAAATATGCATATTTATAATTCATTAATGATCGCTACAGCAAATAATCACACATTTTATTTATTATTTTGTTTATTACTTGATTTAAAGCATATATTTGTAAAAACGAATTGACACAATTTCCTTTTAGAAATTTCATATCACTGCTGTTAATGCATATTATACACATACACATGTTGTTTATAAATTTATGTGACAATGTAATATCATCAAAACAGATTTATTTTTATTTTTGGTAAAATAAAAGGAAGATGTGTTTGCATGGAAACTCTATAACTGTAAATAGGTTTTTTTTTAATGAATAACATTGAATATATTAAATTATTATTTGAACTATTTCCTCTATTTCAACAAATTAAAATGGTAATTCAATGTTCTTTGAAGAGTTCCTCTTTTTTGTTTATTTGTTCATGTTTATTTATTTATTTTGGAACTAATAAAAAAACTGTACTATTATAACTTATAGTTAAAGAACAAATAAAAAAATTGATACATTTAAGAATCAATTTCGAAAACCCTGTACATTTTTTTGTTCAGTAATCAGTATAATAATTAAAAACAAGTAAGCAAGGCTTGTGGTTTGAGGAAGGTTAGATTAAATTCTGTTAATTTGCAATTTTTTATTTTTGATGGTGCAAATGCATTATTTTGTCATACCTCAAACATATTAACGAATGCCAAACTAGCAAAATCATTCAACCTAGTTAATTTAAAATGGTTATTTTTAGTATTGATGTAGAACTTTCAGCTAGTATTGTTATTTTTAAAATAATGTTTACAGGTTTTTTGAATTTAAACCTGTAGATTTTTTATGGATTTCTAATAGTTTCAACGCTTTGATTTGAACACAAATATAAATAAGTTGAAAGTAAAGGTTTTTTTTAAATAAACGACTAATTATTCTTAAAATGTTTATAACCTAATTACACGCATTAGCATATAACGCTAATGATTTTAATGTTAAAACTGAAGTATATAAATAAACTAACTGGTTAGTTTAGGTTTCTTTAAACTAATATCACAAAATCAATGGTTTCCACGCTTCAACTTGTGCATATTGTTTATATTTTAATACAAATTTTTTTATAATTTACCTACTTAAATCAATTTGCTAAATCTACATCTCATAATTAATACTAATGATCCATTCTAATTTTTATGTAAAAAAAAAAATTATGGTTTAATATTTTAGCAAATGTCTACATATTTATAAACTTAAAGCTTTTAAAAAAAAAAAAAAGTTAAAAAATGAAATAGACCTAACCAGTTTAGAAAATGGCTCTAACCTTATTGCCCTCTTCAAATTATGCCATTTATAGAAGACAATTAAAACTACTGTTAAATACTGACCTTGTTTAACAGATACATATTTTGAGTTCAATGCTGCAATGAAACTGGCTTGTGGTAAAGAATCTTCAAGTGTAAATAACTCATCTTTTGTAACGGATTGCGATCTCGTTTTTAAAAGAGCTTTAGATCCGATTGGCGACAAATAACCACCAGCTTTGTCTCTGAGAGCTAATGAACCTCCTGAGTGGTACTCCAAAGAAAACAAACAGTTGGACGTACAAGTGTCTACCAATTTTCCGTCTCTAGACAAATATTTATTGTTGCATGTGTGTATAGCGTATTTGAACTCATCGTCAGGCCGCAGTTCTAATGTAAACAAAGTATCCTCGCCCCAGGGAATATTTGCATCAACGTGAATTTCGTCAAGATTTTCGGATAAATGAGCAAAACGTTTACGACCAACTGATCTGAGATTCACCTTAAATATAATAATATGAATATTAGATAAAAAGACTACCCAAAAATATGATTTAATTATATTTTGGTTTTTTCTCTTACTTGAGGTCTTGCAGCCAAATGAACTAACCATAGTTCGCTAGAGCCAGCCGCTTTTGCAGTGCATTTGAGGTTGTCCGATGAAGCACCCAAGAAATATCCGCGTACAACATTTTTTAACGCCCAGCTACCAGTGTTCCCATCGGTTACTGACACTTGAAATACAGTTCCAGGGTCGCTAGGATCTTCGCCATCACAAGTAACATTTCCAAAAGTATCTACGGCTAAGTACTTGTCCAAATGTGAGCGCAAACGAATCGTAGTTGTAGGCCCGTCACACAATAATGGGCTGTTATTGGTACTAGTTGGCTCGAGTGTCCATAACTGTTTCTTTTTTAATGATGCTCCGTTAGCGTTTATTTTGAATCCAAAAGTTTCAGCCGTTAAGTAACGTTTTGAATCAACATTGACCAATCCTATTGTCCAACAGCTGCACGGGGATACAGAAGACTGTTTGATACCTCCTTCACTAATTTCATGGTTATTGTAACCATTCATGGCTGAAATCCATCAAAACACACATAGGTATGCTATTATTAAATACAATGCCTATGTACAATAATAATATATTAAACAACAATATAGTGCGTACAACAGAATAGGCATAACGTTTTTTAATCAAAGATTTAGGCGCACAAGAATGTATAAACATGTATTTTTGTAAGAATGATCATAGAACTATACAGATATTATGAACATGAGCGTGTGCGGGAATTTTTAAGAGGGGTATTCTTCCAATAGCTTTCTACTCCACCCCTTCAAATTTGGTTCTAAAATAAATATTTCTAATGATCATTTTTAATTTGTTTTTTCTTTAGTTGAAAGATATATTGAAAGTTATATTACGTACTCGCATAAAACATTTTGTATTTTATTATCTATTTCAAACAAAAATTGATTTATTCCTTTTATAAAATCATTAATTATACCAATAATTATATTGGTAATAGGTAAGTATATTCATTTTATATAAATATTTAATTTTAATTGTGCAAATTACCTAATATTCATTACGTTAAGTACAATATATCCTTAAAAATTTTAAAACAAGAACAGGTAGGAAAAGGTATCTTAGACAATGAAATAATCACTCATATTTTTTTTTGGTTTTCTTTACTATAAAATAAATTTTATTTTCTTAAAAATTAACACAAATTGTTATATATTCATTTTTTATTTAAGCTTCTACTTTTTCTTACACTATCTAGTTCATATTGATTGAATTAACCATGCTACAATATAAACCGTATCACCTCTACTAGGTACTCATTAATACACACTGGTTCACATGCACATAATAGAGCCTTCACGCAGCTACTATATATATTTCTATTCAAATTAACCTTTTATTTAGTTACACTTACTAATTGTCAACAACAATAATTATAGCACCAGTCATTACACATTATTATTTTAATACTCAACATACATATGGGAAAAAATAATTTTTACAATCAAATTTGTATGGTTGAATCAGTTTATAAGCAATTGTCGAGAGTATAATTTTTAATTATATATTAAAGGGCCTAAAAATAATTTAACTCAAATAACTAAATTATTTCCCTGATGTAAGTATAATTATAGAACCGTGTGTAAGTCTTGGAAAGTGTTACAAAATAGTTAATAACAGAAAATTAGCTAATTATTAATTCATTACAATAACAATATTCTTAGTTTTTACTTACTCTTACACAGTTATATTTTTTCTTTTTTTAGCATAATATATACATAATGTTTGTGATTTAGTTAATAATTATAATTATTTTAATAGCTACTAAACCAGATAAATGTAAGACACCTAACAAGAAATGGTGAAAATGAAAATGATTAATCAAATTCAAAAACTATAATAAATCATAATATTATTATGAAAAATAATTATGGTGTAAATTATACTTTTAGATATATTCTGGTAAAAACCTCGTTTGATCAAAAAGGATTAGTTACAATTTATGTACAATCGCCATAGTTGATAAGTCGTGTAAATGAAATTCATATATTATCTTAAAGAAACACTAGCAAGACATATAATATTTATGTTTACAATTTGTTAGGATAATAAAACAAAATACAAATATGTAAAACATTTATTCCCCTACCTGTGTATGATATAATTAATACATTATGTGTTTTATTGGAGATCACAACTGAAATGGCCAAATTTTCCAAAAGTTAATATTGTATAATATGTCCAACCACCTTAAATGTATTATCTGCCTGTGTTATTATTTTTCTTAAACAAAATACATTTTAATGGCTTAGAAAATATGTAATTAAGATAATATCATAACTATCATATATTCGATACAGAGAGTCTATGGTATTTTACAGGGCATTATGGACAAGGAACGAACCCCTAATTAGCTAAAAATATTATGCCATTACTAAGCCGGGTCGGACGATGGTTATTATCCCCGGTCGGGTTTTAAGTGCGCTATACCCTTTGTGCTTACGCTATATTGTTGTTGTTGTCGTACCTAGTTATAATATAATATACTATGATCAAGGATCGATGAATTTTCAAAAAGAAAAAAAAACTACTTACCGATTATCGTGCGGTGATCGCGTTGGTTGCAAAAAAAAAAAATAAACGTCAAAGACAAGAAGAACGTGTACTGCACTCGACTGGCGTATTGCAATTGCAGGAAGAAAAACGCCGGCTGTACTTCAACACGCGACAACGTACTACGGTCAACAGACGCTACTGCCCGCGGACAAGTATACTACTGCCTAATAGTAGTGCCTACTGAACAGTGAACGGTTTCGATCCACACAGCGCAAAACACAGTAAAAACGGGGCACACCGCGCTACAACACACACACACACACACACACACCACAAACAACACTATATCTGACGTAGCAGGCACTACACGCCGGTACGCCCTACCTTGAACTTCAAAACAGTATACACACAAACTCACACCACTGTCCGGTGCACACACACGCACACAAAAGTTACACTCAAAGTCTCCAAACGAAGAAGTCTGTCTACTCTATACGAAGCTGTTACCACGTCTTATTACCGGCGCGCTCATTGATTGATGACCGTCCCCGTCGCGGTTATGGACTGCGTCTTATCACTGCGCATGCACGTCGGGGACCTGTGTATAGTTCAGCAGCTACCCACCCCCGCCCGCTCCTTCCCTATCAAAATATGGGTAGACAAATATTTTGGCAGCCGGCCGTACCGCAAAAATATAAATGCCATTATTGTTTTTTTGTAATTATAATAAATCATATGACAACGTTAAATTTCCATTATAACGGCAGTGAGAATTAACTCGACGCATAGGTCACACGTTAATGTCAAATACCTATCCCGGGAAATATCGTTGCCAATAATATTAGGTACTATCGTTCTGTGATATTTCCTAAATGTCGTGTCGTTTTTTAGTTTTTTTAGGGTTATTATAAAAAAAAAAAAACAATATCTTTGACCTATTACAGTATAACATACCGTCCCCGACCATAGCCGTATGTGTTTTTTATTGAGTTTATTCATAATTATTTCCGTAATCTATATTCACTTAGTCAACTGATCTACTTAAATTTTATGGTCATTTTTTAGACATTCGTCGTTCTCCCGTCAATGGGCCAAACACAAATTAATATATGTTATTCGACTGGACTGTACTCCGGTAGACCGGATACTGGATAGACTTATTGGCGTTTGTTTAAATACACTCCTGAATAATTCAACTCAATATAATATAATGCCGGATAAATAATGCATATTGGATATTATAATAACGCGGTATAACAATACCACGTATTATTATTATATAATATACATTTCTCATCATTTAATTGAATTATTCTTAATTTATCCCGCCCTTTATAATATTAAGTATAATACATAAAAATTACCGAAAACTAAAGTCGGTTGTACCGCATACGTTCCTTGTTGTTTATCTTATACAAATAGGACTGGCACCCTAGTATTTTCTCCAGTCTCTTCCCACTCTTCATAACGAAACACCCGTTTCACACACCTTCAAGTCGCCCTTCACAAGTCACAACATCCTGAATCCACCCACATTGAAATCTTTGTTTATGTTTCATCTTACCGGCCTCCTTCCATGCGTCATATGTTCTGATCTATCACGGTTTAAAATAAAAACTGCGTTTTTTCGTTTAATATTATATTCGTCTACAATTTTTTTTTTAAATTAAAAATATATCTCTTCCGTCGAGGGGTGCAGCGTTGGGCCTTAATAGCTAGTTAAGCTGAAAAACCCCATAAAAATATTTAATGTGTCACCTAGAAAACGTCTAACCAGTGTAAGTCATAAGTGACATATTAGGTTACTTTTAATTTTCGTTTTAGGCGTGGCTATCGGTTTACTGTGCGACTCCCTTTTAACAGTCATTATACATTACTCATTACTCATTATGCAATGTACATAATATATTGTATAACTGTTATATCTATGTATAGTTAGCACAGGGGCGAACTTGTGAAAATACATTGACAGTTTATTCACACTCTGAGCCCTACTAGCTACTTGTCCACTGTTAGCGGAATGGTTACTAATTACTATTTATTTACTGATGTGCACGTGAGCGCTTCTTATGCAGAAATATCAAAAGAGACACTTTCAAGAATTACATGGGTTTCTTATGGGGGGAAATATTTGCTACACTTGTGGGAGGGTCAGGAAAATCAGTATGAAAATTTCTCTTATTTTATGGCGACACTGTTCATTTCCTGACCGGAAAATGTGAGAAATCAGTTTCGGCAGCAATGAATAATTTATAATAATGGTTGATTTCTAGCTACACTGGTGCTCTCAACAACTTTACCGATTAGGTTAATTAACATAATGTCAACATTAAACATATTAATAAGTTTATTTTTCTTTATACGATCTGTGGACCGTGGTTTTAATATAGTTAATTAAATATCGATAGTATACTATCGATATCCAAGCAAAATCATTATATCGATGTTTTATCAACAAGAGTGATAAAAATGCCGTATATAGATAACAATTAATAACACATGGAATTACATGATAATATGCATAATATACTGTCAAGTGCCATGTACTGTGTAGTTTGTAATATAAATTATTGTTAATGTAGTATGAAATACCCGCAATTACATTAGCGGTTATGAAAGTTGGCAATTGAGATTAAAGTTGAAACGTCAAAGTGCATTATTCTGCAATCTAGAAATATTTTCCAATTATATTTAACACTACGTGTTACTGTATAATCTAGTTCAAAAGCAATCCGAAGACGGTAGTATATACATATTATACTTAATTTTTACTTTTTTTAACAGTCGTATTGTGTTTTAATAAGGTACATAATTGTTTTTAGGTTTCAGTCTTAACTTTTAAGAAAAATGGCACTAACCGAAGAAAAAGCAGTTGCTTCCGAAGGGTATGTCATGCTATAAAATTAAAATATGTTTTGAAATACTCTACTATAAATAAAGTAACAAATGTTTACTATAAAAATAGAATCAAATTATTCAAATAGGTACTTAATGTGGGACATTATCAAACAAATTTTTTTTCAAATGTATAAATGCAGTAGTTTGCAGTGTAGGGTTAAGCGGCTTGTCAGCTTAGTTTTTCTTTTTCTTAATTTAAACATAAGTATAGGTAATCGTAATTCGTATTAGTAGTGTCATGAAAGACCCACTATTACTACAAAAAATAACTATGCTCTTTAAACTCACGGTCATCGCACCGCACCATCAATTCACTATAAATCACCTACAAGTGTTGTAGAATTTATTTAGAAGTAACTATTTGTCATAATTTAAGGGGCCCTAAGAGAAAAATATATATTTATACCCAGTTTATATTTAATTAATATACATATTGAGTAAAATTGTATATTTTCTTTGCATCTTGGTATCCTATACATTTTTATATTGGCTCACATGAATCAATGCCTCATTGTAGAATATAAAATAAGTATTTTTGAACTAAACCTATCTTTATATTATTCTTGAATCAATTTCTAACTTGTACTTTGAAGTTTTTTTTTTTGTAAGTATACACTTACATAGCACCTAATTTTGGTGGTAATATGGAGATCCATATTGATATGTAATATTTTGTTTTAATGTCTTATAACACATTTTTAAGCTACTTTTGTACAAATAGGTATCAGCAGATTTCCAATATTTTTTTAATTAAATATATCTTTGTTTTTTCTAAAAATAATATGGAAATGCAATACTATAAGGTTTTTTGTACTATAACAGTCATCACAAATATAAAAAAAACCATTGCGAACAATATTTGGAACTTTGTGGATTATTGGTATTTGTGAAATTTGGAGCTTGCCGTGTGTTAAAGTTAAACAATTGTACCAATTTTTATTAATATTCTCAATTTTAAAGAAAAGGTGTACATTTTCATTTTTGTTCTTATAATGTACATTTGGTTGTCAATTCCGATTTATAGTCTCTATAAATATAGCAATTCAGTCATTGTAATAGTTAACGTAGGTGTGTGCACAGCATCTTCACACCTTGCACTTTCTTCAGAATTACAAATCACAATAGGCTGACTGATATAATATAATAATAGAAGTGTTTGATAAATACTTTTTTGTTGTTTTAGAGATCAAGTCAAATCAAAAAAACAATTGAAAAAAGAAGAAAAACAATCAGCTAAAGCTATTAAAAAAGATCAATTGAAAGCATCAAACGTAAGTACATTCACTTATATGTTATAAAAATATATATTTTATGGTCTTCAAAATTATAAATTTTTGATTTGAAATTTAAAAATAAAAGGTAGGTTAAATATGGCTTATAAATTATATTGTCCAAACAACCCATTTTTTTCTGGGTAGTTTACTGGTTATGACAGAAATGGTTAAAATTAATTTGCTAAGACTACTAGACTATAAGGTACTTTAAATTTGACAGAATTACCAAACACCTAGTGAAATACTTAAAAAAATATACATATATTTAAAAAATACTATATACATTTTTTTATATTCTTAAATATTGATGTACGACAGTCATCAAACAATAAAGAACAAGAATCTTCTGAAGATGTATCAACTGGAAAGTATGGAGTTATGGCCATGATTCAAAGTTCAGAAAATATGTCGAGCAGAGTTTTTGTGAATGTGAAAAATCTTATGACTGCTCTAGCTGATAACAGTGTTTGGATACGAGGCAGACTTCATACTAGTCGTGCTAAGGGTAATTTATGAGTTACACTATTAGTTTAAAATTTAGATTGAGTTTTTTATAATCAGTTTATTCATTTTCTTAAAGGCAAACAATGCTTTATGGTAGTTCGACAGCAACAATGGTCTGTGCAAGTGTTAGCTGTAGTCTCTGAGACAATTAGTAAACAGTTCATAAAATTTTGTTCCAAGTATGTTTAATGATATTTTTTAGTTGTATATGCTATAACTATTATTTCAATCAGAAGAATGTTTTTAAAGTACAACTGTTTACTTGCAGTATTAGTAAGGAGTCTATTGTGGATATAAAAGGAAATGTTACGAAAACACCAACTAAAATAGATTCATGTTCACAACAAGATGTCGAATTACATATTGAAGAGCTCTGGGTAGTCAGTCAAGCTGCAAATCAGTTACCGCTACTTATTGAAGATGCTTCTAGACCCATCAAATTGGATGATGTACGATATTTTTACTATAATATAAGAAATAATACGAAATAAACGATATTTTGTAATTTTTAAAATTGGTTTGTTAAGCACACTTACATTGAAGCTCAACACCATTTTAACTGCACCACACAGATAATATTTTGATCATATGTGTCTTATTTAGGATCAAGATGGGTTAAATATTAAAGTCAACCAAGATACAAGATTGGACAATAGAGTTATTGATTTGCGTACACCGGCTAATCAAGCTATTTTCCGTCTGGAAGCTGCTGTTTGTAAGCTATTCCGAGACATCCTAACAGACAATGTAAGTACTATATATTAAGTTAAATAAAGAGTAATTGTTTTATTACCAATAATTCTACGTTTTTCAGGGGTTTGTTGAAATACATACACCGAAATTGATTAATGCACCTAGTGAAGGAGGAGCAAATGTATTTACTGTATCATATTTTAAAGGGTCGGCGTACCTGGCTCAGTCGCCACAGTTATACAAGCAAATGGCGATTGCAGCTGATTTCGACAGGGTATTTACAGTAGGCGCTGGTATGGTTCAAAATTATGAAATTTATTAGAATAATTTAAATTAAGAAATTAAACTAGACAATGATTTTAGAGCTTTTATTCTTCTGACATTTACTTTTAACCAGGTGCTCGTTCTGCTGAGTTGTCCATGACATTCACGTACGGGGTTCGAAATCCACAATTTTATCCCCCAGAGGGCTAAGGACCTCTAAGTTAGCTTAAATTCTTCCTTAGATCAACACATATGTCCTGAAAATTTTTTGTTTGATCTGTTTAGTGGCTCTGAAGCTATGAACATATTTACAAACAAACATTCACATTTATATATAGCTACTATATCAAATATGTAATTCTATAACAATAGAATTATTTTTTTGTTTAGCTATTTATCTTTTATTATTTGTTTAAGCTTATTGCTTTTATTCGGTTTAGACTAATAAAGATTTCTATCAAATTTAATTATCATAATACTTCCAAAAGCAGTATGATGGTGGATTTTTGGTTAATTGAAATTTACAAAATGTTCTATTATAGTTGCATATGAAAAAAAGTTCAATAGCTGCAACACAGTTACAACAACAAAATTAGGTGTTTTGTCTTAATTGTTTTTTATGGAGTTTTTATTATAATTTTCCTGGTTATAAAGCATAAATAACTTCCTGTATACATATCACACGCACGAGCTCTGTTTTTTTTTCATATCATTTTTTTTGTCTAATATGCACAAAATTTGAGCTTTATTTTATTTATTACATCATCCCTTTGAGATAATAAAGATAATATTGATTTTATCATAAAAAAAAACCACTAAGCAGATTTTTGAAAACTTAAAAAAAATAATAGATATTTAAAAAAAAAATCAATAACATAAATGTGGTGCGGAAAATAAAAAGGAATATTTTTCAGTAAAGTACGTTTTGAGAAAAAGATTTTTTAGAATGGTTGTTACAGTTAATTATCCTTTTAAATGCTGTGTTGTATACATTACATGTCAAGTTTATTGTATAACCTTAGTAAAATTTTATAATTGTGAATTATTTCCTTAGTTTTTAGAGCTGAAGACAGTAACACCCATAGACATTTAACGGAATTTGTTGGTTTGGACATGGAAATGGCTTTTAAGTATCATTATCATGAAGTGATCGATGTTATAGGTTCAACATTCACGCAAATGTTTAAAGGACTTAGAGACAAGTAAATAATTATAACATGTATAATATAATATCCTAAAGTAAATATATTTTCAAGTACAGATTCTTTGGAGCAAAAAATGGAAACTAAACAATTTTTTTTGATTTAGCCAACTATTTCATAGTTTATTTAGTTATGATGATTTATTATTCTGTACATTGCCAATTTTTTATCAATAATTCTAGTAATAGCAAAAAAAAAAAAAGTATATATTACATTTAGGGCAATGGGTACATTTTGTGTCCTCGTTTTGAAAAACAGATGTAAAAAGTTCTTAATAAATAGTGGCCTAATTAAAAACATCTTTGCTAAGATTTGAGAGCCAATTTAAATTAAATTCAAAACAAGCATCTATTTTGAAAGAATAATAAATTATTTCCCCTACTTTTTAAATTGTAGATACATTTTTTTATAGTGCATGTTTTTTTTAACGAGGTATAATTAATAATATCTTAATGTTACAGCTACAAAACAGAAATACAAGAGGTCTGTCAACAGTACCAAGTAGAGCCTTTTAAATTTTTGGATCCACCACTTAAACTAGAATTTCCTACAGCAATTAATCTTCTCCGTGAAGCTGGTGTAGATGTTGGCTATGAAGATGATTTGTCCACACCTAATGAAAAATTACTAGGAAGACTAATCAAAGCTAAAGTATGATTGTTGGTAAATGTGATGAAACTTAAACTGTTATGAACAGTTTATATTTTATACAATTTTAGTTTTGTAAATATTTAAATTAACATATTTTTTTTGTTTTTTTTTTATTTATTTAGTATGACACTGATTTCTATATTTTGGACAAATATCCACTTGTTGTGCGACCATTCTATACAATGCCTGATCCTGAATCAAAAGTACAATATTTTCATAATTATTATTTAAAAATATCGATAGTAGAACAAAATGAATTGTAATTATTTTTTTCATCTTAATGAAAATAGGTGGCGTCAAATTCGTATGATATGTTTATGAGAGGCGAAGAAATCTTATCTGGGGCTCAAAGAATACATGATCCTAATTTCCTCACAGAAAGAGCTAAACATCATGGAGTTGGTATGGTAGATTATTTATTAATATTTTTTTATGTAATTTAATGTTTTGTAATTCAAATTTTTTAGATGTAGAAAAAATTGCAGCTTATATAGATGCTTTCCGTTACGGTTGTCCACCACATGCAGGAGGTGGTATTGGTTTGGAGAGAGTGGTTATGTTATACTTGGGTTTGGATAATATTAGAAAGACTTCGATGTTTCCCAGAGACCCAAAGAGGCTTACACCATAAATAAAAAATTATCAAAGATTGTTTATTTTTAATAGAATTTAAGAAATGTCTAATAATAATAAATTACGTATTTAAAAATAAAATTAATTGAAGATGTACGTGTAAAACCAAATAAATGATTTAAATAATTATTAATAATTGATTATTTCCTCTCACACAAGTATATCTGGCCACCGTAATCTTTTCTTTTGTTTTCCATTGTGCCATATTGACATTTCTTTTTTGGTTTGATTATCAAATTACCTAATTGGTTTACCACGGCTTTACTCTACAGACTTATCTTATGACTCTTATTTTTATTCCTATCAACATATCTATTAAGTTAATATTTATGTTATAGCGTATTGCCCTAACTATGAACATACTCTAGGTATTAAAGTAAGTTGTTCTTGCTTCTTTTTAATTTTTAAATATGTAAAAAGAACAACTGCATAAATAGTCTTCTATTTAGTTTGTTAAATTTCTTCATTACTTGATATCTAGTACACAAACTATTGACTACATTTTTTTAATCTATCGACCCAAAATCTATCGACTCCATTCCACTTCCAATAAGATATGTTAAACAATAATTATATAGTAAGGAAAATAACAATCAATTAATAAAAGTGATTTGAAAAAAACGCTGTACTAATTGAAATGTGTACTGCATAAGTACAACTGGAATAAATAAACAACCATTTTATAACAAATAGTCTTATCTTAATATAATGTAAAAAATATGTCTTCAACCAATATTTTGTCCAAAACTTGATTAGATTTATTAAATTCTTTAGCCGATTGTACTATGAACGTTGTATAAATATAAAAAATACATTCTAATATTTTAGTGTAAGCGTTACAATTTTACATTAGTATTTTTTTAGTATGCGTTTAAAATAGTAAACTACGTCTCTACGGTTAAAAATGTTAACAAAAATCTACTTTCGGGCAGCGTTTCATTGTTATTATTGTTACACACTTACTTCAATTAATTATTAGTCATACGCAAATACGCATTTATATAATATAAAACAATTAAGTTGTTTTTAAACTGATAGTGATTAACGCCCATAAAGTAAAAACGTACCAATTTTAACAATAGTTCTTAAATATAATTACATATTGTTACCATGTGTAGTATGTATCAATGTATCAGTAAGTACCTTCTAAATAATTGATATATATCTTTCTCGTAAATTTCTCTATTTGCCTATTAGGAACAGCTTAATTTTTACTAGTCACGTTTTAATAAAAAATACATTTTTGAATTGATTTTACATGCGTCTAAATTACAATATTTAATTTAATAAAATTGACAATGAATTTAATTGTTTTTTTTTTTTGCCAATTATTCGTCTTTTGTGGGTGAATTCAAAAACTCGCTTCATAGAAATTTTCCTTATGCATAAAGGTTGCGATATAATCAGAATTGAACATTTTTTATTCGAATAATAAATTATAAATAATTTCTTCGAATACATTTTTTATTCGACCAAATCCAAGATGATTTAAAAAATCGAAATTAAGTTTTTTTAATTATGTCAACAATAATATATTTAGCCTATAAAAAAAAAATATAAAAAAACTTTTAATAAATCATTTAATCAGTTTTATTTTCGATTTAAATAATAATTATTCGAATATTTCTTTTATTCGACCAAATCCAAGATGATTTATTCGAATAAAAATATTATTCGACGGGTTTTCAAATTAAATAATTATTTAGATAAAAAATTAGCTAAATAATGCCCAACTCTGGTTATGTTGGTTAACTTCTGGAGCAAATTTTTATTTTTATTGTCTTGGCATTTTGTATAATTTCTCAGGCGTATTGTTGAGATTTATAATATTAGATTGCTATGCATTTGTATATTGTAGTTTAGAAATTTTGTTTTTTTAAATAATTCAGAAATCATTATAGCAGCATGAAAACATCAAATGTTTATAAATTTCCAAGTAATATTATCAAGTCGGACAAATTTTTCGATTCAAGGTTATTCGCAGTAGCCAGATTCAACGCGTTACGCACATTAAACGCGCCTGTACACCTGTTGTTTTCTACACGGGTGCGGAATATTATGCTGAAAATAAATTATAGAACGTAAAATTTAATGTACATAATATTCAGATGAGATTGAGATCGCGGCGGTGTTTTTTCTTCGGGGCGTACGGTTTGTCGGTACACGGCCGCGAGTTTCGCGCCAAACAATATCGTTTTCTCCATGGCCGCAATGGAATTTTCAGGTTATGTTCGGTCCAGTCGTTTCCTAACCGAGTAACACATAATAATTATTATTCGAGAAATACCCCCCCCCCCACCCCCCCGCCCGTCGTCTCCTCGTCACAAAAGAAAAACCATAAATTGCATTTGGACATTTTTCGGCAAAAAAAAAACGTACGGACGCGTTGAAAAATCGTGTCCTCGTTTGTATAATGTAAAAAAAACGTTTCCGCGAAAATTTTGATAATAATCGTGTAACAGTGCAATAATTGTGCAGCGAACGCATGCGGATTTCAATAAGAAATACGCAATAAACTGACGTCAGAGTCACGTTTTCGACATTGTCCGATGGCGGGCGCGGGCCGTGGCGGTGTTAACGCGGTGGACGGCGGGGAATGAGCGGAGGGTCCCGAACCGTTCCGATTGGGTCAATGTCTGGTGCGTCCGATGTTTTCCAAAATGGAGTTGTGATTAAAATAAAGTACACGAGAAATTCTGACCATTTTTCTCAGCCCGCGATATCATGTTGTGTGTTCACGTCTCTCGGTCTTAGGTTTTCCATTATAGTTTTTGTTACGGTCGCATAACAATATACAAAACGCAATAATAATAATAATATAATATAGCTGTTATTAATTTATGCCGCTGCTCCGTTCAGATAGCCGTTCTCCAACGATGTACCACCACTACCCTCGTCAGGTATAGCAGCGTAGTATGTGGGCCGCGAACCAGGCCAGATAGGCGTATCAGAAAATTACTTTTTTTTTTTTTCTTTTATCAATATAAGTACGAGCAATAAATCACGTTTCTTTTTCGTTTCTTCTGGCCGTTTCCCCGTTTTCATTTTTCCTACACGTTGCTGTGTGTCTTATACCCGTGGAGAATTATGTAAACCAAAGTGCCGACATTTAGATAATCCGTTCGAGTGCTGAGTGAAAATCGTTTTTGGGCCGGACCGACGTTTTTGTGGACATGAGCGGAAGGCCTAGGACTACTTCATTTGCTGAGGGCAACAAGACGTCTCCGAATCCTCCGATTCCCTTGGGCGGAATTAAAGTCATAAGTAAGTATTATTCCAACAGTACTTTTTTTTTTTGTAAAACAATTTTTCGGGGCTCAAAGTAGTGGTTTTCGCCCGTGGTTATGGAGAGTAGCTTTACAATCGAGAATTAGGTTTAATAAATTGAAACACGACGTCCGAATGATTTCCATAATAATTGTTCGATATGATTACTCGATGTCATTTTATGCTGCTGAACACAACTAGTGCTTCTCGACTATTGTTAGCTGTAAAACTGTCATTAAAAACTTGTAGGTACTAGGTGCGGTTAAGATTTTAATGTTTTTATCCTATCGATATAATGTATTATTATTTGGCTTCATAATTTTGCTTAATATCTAGAGTATAAATGTACCCGAGGATGTTGGAAATTTGTTAAAAATTGCTTCACAATTTTTGCCTTTAAACTTTTAATCATTTTTATTAGCGGTTAATTAACAAGTAATGAGGAAGAAATAATACAACTAGGTATTTTTTCTTTTACTTTCAAACTAGTTATTGTACTTTAATGTAAAGCAATTATTCCTATATTTTAATTTAAAAAAATTACTTGTTCAATAAATTGTGTGTCTTTAGAATCTGTAATTACTTTAGTTTCAGTATAACAATGTCATAGCTAAACTCTTAGTATTGAGTTGGAATTATTTTAGTTAGATGTTCAGCATTTAATATCAAACTTCAGGCTACAATATAAAATTTCCTATAATTTATTATCGAGGCTGAAATTGTATAAATCGCCTAATTATCTTCAACTCTTTAGCATATATTCCTATTTATGGTAAAAAATGTCTAAAACGTTATTCAGAAAAATTTAATTTATTTATTTAAAGTTTCTCGTATGATAAGAAATTTGTATATTATACTGACTGTTGCACTTACCTCCTTATACAACCGCGTTACACTCCTTCTAACCAAAATTTTAAATCAATTTTGTTTGAATCAATGACCTTTTAAATTAAAAATATACCAATTAGTATAATTGTGCCAAGTTTATTTTGAAATAATTGAGATTTTTTTCAATTCAATGTCAATGAATTGGCTTGCATTGTTAATAAGTTCAGTAGTAATGGATTTGCATCTTCCGTGTAATCATAAGGAGGACGATGATGATATTCCTATTTGGAATCCATCTGTAGTTGCAAATGCTGAAAGATTAAGGCTTCAAGGTATAATTAATTTTTACTACTTTAGTTATATGTTTTAAGTATCTTATTTCATGTTGGTACATTTTTTTAAAAACTTTATTACTACCTATATAACACATTTAATTTAAACATTTTTTTTTTTTTATGATAATAAAATAAGAAATGGTCTAGACAGTAGTTAAACATATATAATTATTTCATACATTATAATTTAAATGCCGTATTGATATTTATTTATTAAATTTAATAATAAAATAAAAATAAAGAAATTTATTAATTAGGTTAACACAATTTAATTAGGCCAATACATTAAAAAAACTACATTTTTGTTCTCTGTAGCTTATTATTTCACTTGAAAATTTACAAAATTTTTTAAAACATTTCATAGAACTATTATTCTATTTTTATAATAATTTTACGTCATTTTGTTATGTAGTTTTAAAATTTCACTAGACTTCTTGAGTTTGTTCCAAACAAATAGTATTAACCGTTTGTATGTGAATGATGAAATATTACTATTAGATTTATTTATTTTGTCTCCTGGCAAAATAAGTGAACTGTAAAAATGTATAAAGTATTTCAGTCAAAGGGCAATCTATTTAAATAAATTGTGACAATATTAATTTGTGATATATTAAAAATAATTGTATACACTTTGTATCTTTTTTGTGAGAAAAAAACATGTTTATATTTTTTGTTTGTTAGTAACATAGCCAATCTCCAATACTGTTTAGTAAACAAACTATTTTAAATTTTACTTTGTATTATAAAAAAATATTGTTTTTATAAATGCAGTTTAAAACAAAAATATTACTTTTATTGTTATTGAAATAAATAAAAATTTAATTTAATAATGAGTCTGAATTCTGAAAATAATTTATTAGCATGTAAGTGATACCCATATTGGACCAACGTACAATTTAAATAGGTATTGTACTCTAGACTTTCAACTTATTTTGATAATTATTATCATTTTTAAAATTTAAATTATAATTTAGCTACCTATATGAGAATGACTTGAAAACTTTTTATTACTTCTATTGTTACTGATATTGCTTGATATTATTAACAAATTTAGTAATATTGTTTTTTAAATATAATATTATAAAGATTTTGATTACAATAAATTTATGACTACTTAAAAATCTTAGGTAGTCATAAAAGTGTTGTTATAATAATTAAAAAGTTATTGGATTGCAATACATTATTACATAGTATACATTTTTTAATACTGCAAATTTAAAAAAAAATTCTTTATAACATTAGCTATTCTACAGTAAAAAAATTAAATAATGAAATATTTTAAAAACCGTTAACCATAAAGTATAATATACTTTAGCGTATACACGTATTTCAGCATCAATGTTACGATCATCGGTGCTCACAACAGACTGAGACTAGATCAATTTTTTTAGCTAGAACCTATATGTGTGTTTAATACCTCTACACACCTATATCTGTGTAGAGGTTATTCATGGTAAGGTTTTAATTTGGGTTAAAATCAGTGGGTTGTGGAACACACAGTGTTGGTTGGAAGCATGGCTTTGTTGCTAAAAATTCCGATTGATCACACCTCCAAGAACTAGCAACACCGTAGGCAGCTTAACCACAGCACTAAGTGGTAACTGCGACTGACCACTGCCCTACCCCATGCCCTGTGTTTTTTTATTTTTAAATTATTTACAATTTCCAAACTTTTGATATTAAGCTAAATTTGTTTAAAAATTGTATTATTCATAATTACTTTAATTGTATAAATTTCTTTATAAATTATTTTTGAAAATTTGTTTTAGGCAAAGATGGAAATAAAGTTACCACAGTTGTGGCAAATCCATGCCAAGGACCGGATCGACCCTTGGAGGTGTCGTACACCGACACAATGGTTATTGGTAATGGAAGTTTTGGGGTTGTATATCAAGCCAAACTATGTGATACAGGCGAAATGGTGGCTATTAAAAAAGTCCTTCAAGATAAAAGATTTAAGGTATTTAAATAACCCTTCGAAATTAAGTTGATAATAAAAAATAAATAAATAAAAAGTTTCATAACTATAAATTGTAGCGTTATCTACACTATATAATTAATAGTTGAAATTTTAGCTCAACTTTGTTTTTACATTTTTAACATAGCATATTATTTTAGAATCGCGAACTTCAAATAATGAAGAGGTTAGACCATTGTAATATAGTGAAATTGAAATTTTTCTTCTATTCGAGTGGCGATAAGGTAATAATATTCATAATTAATTTTTATTTTTCTTAGTGTTCTTGTTTACATACATTTTTTGTTTTCGCTCAGAAGGACGAAGTTTATCTAAATCTAGTTTTGGAATATATACCTGATACCGTGTACAAAGTTGCGCGCCATTATAGCAAATTAAGGCAAACTATTCCAATCAGCTATATTAAGGTATGTTAAATGTAATGGATGTTTAAATTGTTTTGTTTAAATACGTTTATATATTTATTATAGTTGTACATGTACCAGCTGTTCCGAAGCTTGGCCTATATACACTCGTTAGGTATATGTCATCGTGATATAAAGCCTCAAAATTTATTGTTGAACCCTGAGACTGGGATTTTAAAATTATGCGATTTCGGCAGTGCTAAAACCTTAATCAAAGGTGAACCAAACGTATCCTACATATGTTCAAGATATTACCGAGCGCCTGAACTCATATTTGGAGCTATTGACTATACAACAAAAATTGGTAATTATAATTATTTTTTAAACACATAATTATTGTTAGCAGCTTAATATTAATTTTAATTAAAAAAAAATTTACGTATATATTGATATACACAGGGTGCGGCGCAGGATTTGACCGTTTTTGACATGCAAAATGCTAAGTTTGTAGGATTGATAGAAAGTAGGTAGGGTCGTTATTTCATTGTCCACGACATGCCATTTTATAGTTAGTAGCCATCACGCCTTTGTGGGGACTTAGGTCACCGAGTTTTTTGCTTACAATACGTCTGTACAGACTAGGTTGTAAACACTGCGGAAATTAAGACTGTATTTTACTATTGATTATTATGATCCTGGTCCCACTTTGTGATGGGTAAATCAATTTCGGATGAGAGGAACGGTAATGAAAAAGAAACCTGTAGACCCAAGAAGAACTGTAGGGTCCCCGGAAAACATGGATACGGTAAGGCAGGCATTATCGAGAAGCCCGTGCCAGCTCCCCACGTCTTCAAACTTGTGTTAATGAAAATGGGCATCACCTCACAGTTGTCATTTTCGCAAATAATATTTTCAAATAGCCGGTTAATACATGTGTCTAATAAAAAATAAATACTTTTATTTCAATAACTGACGGTATACTGCGTATTTTATCAAAGGTCTATTCCTGTGTCCCATTCTGTATTTATAAAAAAACATACAGGAAATTAAAATTATAATATTTTTTTGTATTTTTATTAGATGTATGGAGTGCCGGTTGTGTATTGGCTGAACTAATGTTGGGTCAGCCAATATTTCCTGGTGATTCTGGAGTCGATCAGCTAGTAGAAATAATTAAAGTCCTAGGTACTCCGACAAGAGAACAGATTAGGGAGATGAATCCAAATTATACAGAATTCAAATTCCCACAAATCAAATCTCATCCGTGGTCCAAGGTAAATTTTTAGTAGATAACATTTTTAACAACTAACAAGGAAGGTAGGAAGGTTAGGTAAGTGGAGTGTTTTAGAGTTTGCTCATATTTTTTTTTATTTGTTATTAATTACTTGCTTAACACTAATAGCCGTTCTCACTAGTTTAACCTAAACATTTAGTATAGTATAACAATATAAAAACTATTGGCTAATAAACTACACAAAAATGTTAAGCCAAACTAGTGAAAATGGCCATTAGACATTTTTTTTTTTAAGTTATCTGTTTTAAGCGTATTAATATCCAGTTATGTTAAAAGCTATTCAATTAATATTCCTTTCATAAGAATAAGCCTGTGTAGATGTTTCATAGGTTTTTTTGAAAAAACAATAATATATTAGGATTTACTTTTGGCCGAACCTCAGTTTATTAATAATAAAAAAAAAAATTTATCATCAATTTTATTAAGTACAACTTAAAGTTTGACGAATTGCAGTGAATAAAATCTTACAACTCTAATGCTATAATTAGTAACAAATAATGAAAATAATTTCTTGCTATTAAGTTTAAACAATTTCAATGAAATTAAGAGGAGAAAAAACTACTTATTATAAAAATTCAAACTATCAAGAATAACAATACTGATTTGAGCAAGTTCAATTTACAGAACTTTCCAACTTAAGCTAACATTTTCTAACCTCCCTTGTAAGTATATAATATAATATATTCTGTAAGATTTTTTTTTCTTATTTAATTCTAAAAGACCCAAAATTTTTTTTATTCTTGTAACCAATATAATGCAATAATAGTTACATATAGTTTTATTATAGATTGTTGAAAATAATTTTAGTATGAAAACAAATCAGATTTATGATTTGTTTTTGAATTTACAATTCTCAATGTAAATTAAGTTTTTTTGTTGTGTAAATATGGTATTATATTAACAGATGCAAAAAATACAGACGTATGTGTGCATTCTAATGTTTTTATAATAAAAATCTAATAATTATACTCAAATTAAATCAAAGTTTTTTTGGGTTTTTTAGATTAGAGTAAAACTAATGACTTATATAAATTAAGTTTCTTAATATTTAATGTGTGATGTTTTTAAAACTATTTTATCAAGACATGTTGGGGAACAACTTTAATTAAATTTTTTAATGGGGTTATTGTTCCTTGCAGTTAATGCTACAACGCATGTCATTCCCAACAAACAGCACTGTTCATCAAAAAATTAGAGTAAGTCTTAAAATGACTACAAGGCAGTGTGATATATTCTAACCTGTTGTTCATGTTTAGTCATTTAACCCATTGACATGCTCTTCATAAAAAAAGAGTTTTTAACTAATTTATTTAAGTAAAATTAAAGTTGTTAATAAATAAAAAAAATAAAATTTAAACTTTTATTTAATGAATAAATATGTTTATTTATTTTATTAATAGAGCTCTAACATGTCTTTTGAATTATTTATAAAATTATATTAGTTTAGTCAAAATCAAAATGTAATGTGGAGTGTATTTTTGAAGCGAATATTCTATGTGTTAACCTAAAGGCGTCATTTATAAAGGTGTTCCGGATGCGCACGCCATCTGAAGCAGTTGAACTTGTTTCTGTATTGCTTGAATACACTCCATCTCTTAGGGTGTCTCCTTTGCAAGCGTGTGCTCATACTTTCTTTGATGAGCTTAGGGACCCGCACACCAGATTACCGAGTGGACGTTCATTACCACCGCTTTTCAATTTTACACAATTGGGTAAGTATCGTAATATTTCGCCTTAAATCTTAGTAAAACATATTCTAAATAAATATGACTTGTAATTATTATACAAATAGAATTGAGCGCTGCGGGTTCATTAAAATCAGCTTTGATACCTAAACACCTTAAAGATTCTGTTGGAAGTGGAAACGAAGTATCTGCAGCAGCTAGTGGTGGGCCGTCGACTCCTGAAAATATCAATCCCGAGAGCCCAAACCACCCGTCATCTTCGACAACTTCTAGACAACCATCAAATGAAATCGTTTAATAGGTAAGTAAGTACAATAATACTTCAACAAATTATTTTCTCGCAAACATATTTTATTTATTATCACATACAACATTTTAGGCTGGTTAGGTTTTATATTTTGTAATATATTAAATATATTGTAGCCCAGGTCCTAATTTGAGTTGACAAAAGTAGTAGTGTAAAAGCACAATCTCAGCTGCACTACCTCTGTCGACGCTGTGTGAGAATTAATCAATTCTTCAAAAATATTAACGTTTTAATTATTTTTATTTTGCAGTGCAACTATGAAATGTCTTGGCAATCAAACCTACTCAAATTTACAAAGGTAATATATATGTATACCAAAACAACTAAATACAAATACAACATTATCATATCTGAATTGTTTTTTTTATAATTAGATAAAAGAAAATGTGTATGTAATATTTTATTAGATTGCCAATTTTGTTATTAGGTAAATTTGTCGATACCTAAACTCTTTTTATGGGGAATAGATTTCACAAATTCTAAACTGTTTTCAATGGTCATTTTTCACTAACTACTTTCTTTGTTCATTACAGATTAAAATTATTGGAATTAAATAATCAGTCTTATTTTAATCAAAACATTATCATGTTTTTTAAGCTTTTTTTTTTCTAAGGATCTCGTCAAAACGTGTAGCCTTTTTAAAAACAATTTTTATCTAGAACCCCAATACTTGCCTTTTGTGTTAACTTTTAAGTCCAAAGATCATATTTTATAAACAATTCAAATGTATTTAATAAACTAATATTAATCCCTGTTGTAAATATAGTACAATTTTTTTTTTTTTTTTTTTGTAGTTCATATATTATATCAGTGAAATATGAAGAAATAGGTCTAAAGCTTTTAAACCATTTATACGTGTTATCAATTTAGGCCGATTAATAATTTTAATATTGGCAGTTGACGCTTGACTTGTATATACAAAAACGTGTTTCGTATTATCCACAACATAATATAATTGCATAGATCATCTTGTTTTTTTTTTGCACACCAACGTTCCTGAATTTTGATTTAGATGGTTCATCATCTAGTTTACAGCTGGGCTGTTATGATAATTTAAGCCTTTTAAAAAAAATTTGAATGAATACAAATATTAATACGTATGAGCTTTATATTTTTTAAATTGCAAAAATGATATATGTATTTACACACCTATGAACCACTAATGATGAGTTACTCTTATTATTGGTTTTAAAAATATTCAAACATTAAAAAGTATGTGTTTAAACAAAAAAAAAAAAATTATTATTTAATAATGTTGTGCTTCTATTTTTTGTGTTTTAAGTTTACTGTCACTGTGTAGTATTCTGTTTTTATATTATAAAAATAAATATATATAAAATATATATGTCAGATTTATAACAAAAAATTCATTCCAATGTAAAATTTATAATTTTTTCTGTTAAATGTCATCTGTGATTCTTGAAATTGTGTTATTATTAATGCATTAATTTATTTTAAGAAATTATTTGAAAGGCTCTGTTTAATATTTATTTATTTATTCTTTTGTTAATGACATACAAAGTTGACAAAATTCTAGAAATTATGTTTTATGTTGTAAATGATATTAACTCAAATAAAAATACATCAAAGTTCAAATAACGATGTTATAATAAAACGCATGTTTCACAATGTGTACGTAATAATTATTATTTTCATTTGCATGTGTTAGTAACGGCAAATCTAATTGGTTATTTGTGTGCCATTTGGCAAGTATTTTAATGAAATTAAAGAAAAAAATTTAATGTTACATCATCATCGGGTAGTCTTGTAAGAATTACGATATTATTATCATTACGGTGAATACTCTAATAAATAATGCAGAAGGTAGAGCATCAAATGTAGGCTACATGTACACGCTACTTATATACTTAAAAAATATGATATTGTTTTTTTCATTGCTCATAAGAATACTGCTGTTACGTATATGTAGATATTATGTTAGAGCTCAATGTTGTTTTTGAGAACAATTATTAGCTGCTCTTTATTATTTTGTAAAAGTGTAAATTATTCAACATTAATATTTAATTTGTAAATATACTTATAAAAAATATATACATAGAAATATAGTCGATGGCTAGTTTTAACATAAGCGAGTATTTGAGTTTTTTTTTTTTTTATTTAGACTGTACAACGTACAACATTTTTAATACTAACTATGATTACTATTTCAATTTGTTGTTGTTTTTTTTTTTTTTTTTTGTATAATCTATATACATAAGTGTTTCTTTTTTTTATAATATTGAAAAAGAAACGACAACATGTAATATTCTTGTCTCTCTATACTTTTTTTCTGTGGTAAAAATCTTTTGTTTATATTTACCTGATTTAATAATAACTGCAGTCTTTGTGGCCGTATTGTAATAGAAATTAGACAAATATTTTACCTATTTAAACTAAATAATACGCATATTATATGTAATAACCATGATGTCAAAATTGGGAATTATTAGTTATGAGATAAAAAAAAAAAAAAAATTGTTAGTTCGTAGCATATATAAGGATAATAATTATACATATATATCATATACATAGGTAAATAAACAATATACCTATCTAGTTTTGTTGTATTATTTGAAACGTTTTTCTGTTTTTGGTTTCTTTGACTATTTGATAATATTAACTGAATAATAATCAGTATGCTTTTGAGGATAAAATATGTTTTGAACATGCATTGATGACGACTACTTGATTCATACTTGAAGTTATGCCATTGGAAAATGCAAAGAAATATGAATAAACAAGTTAACGATAGGTATTTGTTTTCACTGTAAAACAGGTATAATATAATTTTATCTTATTAATATATTATTATAATTTATGTTGTCTAATTTCTATGCATGCAAACTATTATACTTTAACAAATCTACTTTTGAAGTTAAAAATATATTTAAATTTAAGAGGATCTATTCTATACTAAAAATACAGTAATAATATTGGAAGTGCAATTTAATTTCTAATTTTTGAACTGCGTATAGCAAGTTATATATAATTAATAATGCACCATAGACGTAAAAATTACTACTGTGTAATTATATTATCTTAAATAGGTGTATGAAGTGACGATAAAGTATAAACTTAATTTTTGTTAACCCGAATTAAACAGCTAATATCCTTACTTGTTGCCAATCTCTGTCTCTGTTATGAATTGTTATTAGAAATTTAAAGAATAGTCAAATTAGTATAAATTATAAGTTTAAAAGTAGTAATTAGAGTAGGTAAAAAAAATTGGTTTTATTATTCACCGAATTATATGTACACAGTTATAGCACAAGTTGTAATGTTATATTATTATCAATAACTTATTGCTTCAAATTTGTTATACTGACATTTTAATTTTGTATATGTTACCCAGTCCAATAAAAAATGATCTATATTAGTAGATTGTGAAAGAGATGTCACTCTGTTGCTTGGATAAATTGTTGTCAAACCATAACCTTTTAAAAAAAGTTAACAAAAATTGGTGTTTCTTTAACAAAAAGTGACAGCAAAGTACTATTAAATTAGTTTTATTTTGTAATAGAAATTTTAATATTACGATGGTAATGTAACGAGTAAAATTATTTCATTAAGTTTCAAAAGTTACCTGCCAATGACTGCTATTAAAATATTGTGCCAGAACACAGCAGTACTCTGCATGTTCTCAACAAGAGGTTCCACTTGTCTAAATGTTATTAAAAATAATATTAAGTTATTAACAAATAACAATTGTCCACTGAATTCAAGTTAATTAACCATTATATTATAATAAATTCATAAATCAATGGCAGCCGTTGATTAATGTGAGGAACTTGTTTAATATGAAAGAAAGAAAAAGCAAGTTGTACAATTTTGTTGTCATTTTATTTTTAGTAAGCATAAATTAAAAAAAAAAAAAAAAAACAATCGGTAAATTACTACTATTTTGTTCCCACTATAAAATATAATTATACGTAGATAGGAGTACCTATTATAATTTACCAAAAATGTTTACAATCTGTACAAGTGTTGGAAGATTTCATTAGGGATAAAATCTTATGTAAATTTAAAGGTTATTCATAATTAAAATTTAAAATTACATATTTATAGTTTTTAGTTTATAATGAAACAGGAACATACATTAAGATACACCAATTATAAAATATGTTGAAAATAATTAATTATAAAAAAAGCAGCTATCATTTATATTATCTCAAGTTTTAATTACTCATCCTGATTTTCTTTGGTTCTGTATCTTCTTCAATCTCGTCCGCTTTTCTTTTGGTTGTTTGGTCTACATTAATAATTTCAACGTTATCTCCATCAATATTTTCATTTGATTCACCTGGCATTTCTATTATGCAATCATCATCGTCATCTTTTTCTTCTTTCTTTTCATTATTTTCATCTTTGTCTTGTTCGGACTTTTTGAGTTCATCCAAGTTACCGAAAATTTCAAACTCGGGGTCTTCTTCTTGAGTGTGTTCTTTATGATGTACATTAATTTTTATACCGTAATTTTGAAAATAATCATCGACCGACAATCTTGACCCATCTCTTACACCCACCTGTTCTAAAGTTTGAGAATATAAATCTAACTCGTCGTCTTCATCACTTGAAATGATTAGAGTCATATTAAGTAAAACATCGGGTGCCACTACATTTAACTTCTTTTTAAGAACCAAGTCCTCTAGTTGCCGTACAGTGAACTTATGTATATCGGTTGATAAAATAATTTGGCCTTCGGTAGAGCACACCGTGCACTTAGGATTAGGAGCGACCAATTTTTTGTCTCTCATCATAAGCACCCCCTTATGATTGGGCATCTCTCTTAAATACACCGTTTGACATCTTTGGAACTGACCTCTTAGTATTCTTAATGCGTGTATCACAATTTGTCCCCCGACCATGGCATTTGCTGTAGCGATTGCTGGAACGATGTTACCAGCCATTGATTTAATATCAAAATGACTGTTAAAACGTATGTTAAATATTTTCGATCGGATATTACTACAAGCAACTACAAAGTTCATGTAGTCATCGTCATCTTTGTCCCAAACCAAAAACTCATTAGACTTTAAAAACTTTTCCTTGATATTTTTTACACAATCTAAAAACATGACAACATACTGTTCCAACGATAATATCACATTGTCAGGTTCATTTTTGTAATTGGACGCTTCTATTTTCTCTATAATAGACTCATCAAGAGGTACAGGCTTGACTCCTTTGTCTTTATATAAATCTTCCATGCTTAACAAATATTGAATGTCATCAATAAAAAATTTTGTGAATAGCATAACTGGATTGTAATTGTTGGTCTTGGCCCATTGGCGTGCCGATATCTTACTCTCGCCATCGCCTTTTTCATCCATTGACACGTCTTCTTCCGTTTCGCCAAAAAGTTGTCCAAACAAAAACTTTGCCCATATTATACAATGAATAGGTTCTTTTGGAGTGTTTCGGATTGTACACATTGGGAATGATTTGGGTTCAGGTTTCGGTACACATTCGTAACATTGAGTCATTGACTTTTTAATCAGTTCAACCTGGCCGTTGTAGCCCATCGTTCCAGATTCAATAAGTGGAACGTCAGCAGAGAGACACATGCGATTTACATGATTACGAGCTTTCCGATTGTCCAAGGCGTTTATTACCAACTTAAACTTTTTAAAAAACGCTGTACCATACTTCTGATCCATTATGTCGCCCAGATGAGAGTTGATGTTCACGTTTGGGTTGAATTTCAATACGCTCTCTCTGGCTACATGCGATTTGGCTTTTCCCACGGAATCTTTGTTGAACAGGAATTGTCTGTTCAAGTTGCTCACATCAATCGTATCCAAATCGATAACCTCGAGATCGCGGAAACCCGTCAGTACGAGGTTCTTCAACACTTCGCATCCAATACCGCCAGCACCGACCAATAAAAGCTTGGAGTTTTGAACTAAGTTTTGCATTTCTGGCTGGAACACACCAACAATGTTTGCTGCCATCGTTTATTGCGGGTTTCGTAAAACAACTACAATACACTAATATTATACAAGCTAACTGTACGTTATTGTTTTATACAACGTTATGACAAAGCGTGTATTATTATTATTAACAACTACCGCCAAACTCACCACTGTGTGTTATAAGTAATAACGATTTATATCCTTGTCCTTACACTATTCATACGGGGTCGCAACTATAATCTGTGTATAGAAAAACGCAAACAAACAACAGCTATAACAGCAAAATAACGCCGGACCGGATTCACACTTTATTATGGCGCACTGTTGATAAAAAATTGATACAGTTGTGATTCTTCATGGAAGAAAATATAAAATATTGGTATCTAGGTGGTAGGCTATCAATAAACCTAAAAATGGTCCATGTGCTCTATGACGTCACCAATAGCTGTTATCACCACAATACGGTAGTCCGTTATCAATAGTTAACGATACCGCCAATCTGGTACTTACTAATACTTACTATGCCGTTGCCAATAATTTGTATTTTGTAAGCTGCAATGTTATTAATTTGTTATTGTTGAGAATTTTAACGTTAAATAATCACGATTAATATAATTACATCGATGTAATGGACGTTGTTTGTAAGTAATTGATCCGTTTTTTTTTTATCTGCAACAAATTATATGTAAAAAACGAATATAAATGCCTGTTCGACAAACTTGAAATATTGTGACAAACTATGGTTCCTCGCGTGACATTGGTAAGTTAAAAATGTTACATTTTTGCTAAAACGATAATATCGTTTAGTTTAACTCGAAGAAATTCTGTTTGTAAAAAAACGTTAACAAAAGTTAGCAAAACTGTAATAGTAAAAACATGCATTTTTTTTATAGCTAGACGCACAAGTTCTCGATGAATATATTTCCAAAATATTTATTGATCAGACAGTTAGAGCTTTGAAATTTTTACCGGTAAGTGTTTTCTTATTAAAAATCTTGAATTTATGTAATTTAGATATTTAACTAGTTTCTCATAACATTTAAACAAAAAATTATAAGTTAAACGGAACACTATGGTTTAAATTAAGTTTTATAAATGTTCTAGAACGTTTTTATTCCATTCACAGTTAATAAAGAAACATTGTTCTGGACTGTGGTGTTTATCGATAAAAAATCAATATTTTTATATTGCACAATCTACTTGACTTTATATTTTAGTACAATGTACCTAATTTATTACACTCGCTAAAATTTATTGAGGATAACAATTTAGATACATTGCGTACACTATTATGTCTAATTATTGAAATTTTTTTTGTTTTACATACATTTGAATAATTCAGACATGGATTGTCAATAACTTGAATGTGGAAATTAACACATTACTACAATGCCTTCTTACATATGTAAGTAATAGTATTTATATTTATATAAATTTAAATATTGAGTTTATTTTTATTATTGTATTATTAATTATTCATTTATTTTTGAAAACTAGTATTCAGTATCGAAATCAAAAGCATCATTTGGTCAACAACTTCTTGGTGTCAAGTATAAAGCAGACCAGTTAACAGACATTAAATTAGTTCTGTTAAACGTATTAACAATCGGAGGAAATTATGTTGCATCAAAAGTAGAAAGCCCTTCAAAAAACTTCATAAACAAAGTAAGTTTAGAGGAGTAAACTCACTAAATGTTTAATTTTAATATCATATTTTGATTATTTTATTTTTGATAATCCTGTTTCAGTTTAATGATTTGAAAACAATTTGTATTGTTTTAAAAGTGGCTTCATTTTTAAATTTCTTGACGTTTCTTCGACAAGGCAAGTATCCTACACTTACTCAACGAATTTTAAATCTATCACAGGAATCAACTCGTAGGAGAACTGTTGGTTATGAATATATGACTAGAGAAATGTTATGGCACGGTTTCTCTGTAAGTGAGTTTTTTTTGTTAAATCATGTTATTATTAATGGAATTTTTATTTTGAGAAATAGCCGACAATATTTAATTAAAAATCAATGTTTTCAAAAACGTGTTATGTTACGTTAAATGTAACTATTTAATTGTTTCTGTGGAAAAAATTGCATTTAGCTTTTTAAAATTAAATTAAAGAGTTAACTGAAGAGAGCAATATTTCTATCAATATAATTTTTCAAGCTTATATACGATAAAAATAAGTTAACGAATTATTAAAAATAATAATCATTTGAAATTTATTTTCAGGAACTTTTGCTGTTCACATTACCTTTAGTCAACTATCAGTCGGTTAAACATAAAGTCAAAAGACTGATTTATTCGTATTCTTTAAGTGCAAGTGACAAATGGATCGACAAGTCGCCAATATTGAACGCTAGAACAGTGTGCACGATATGTCAAGACAAACCTGTTTTACCTCACCACATGAAATGTTCACATGTATTTTGTTATTATTGCATTAAAGTGAGTAAACATTTTTTTTAATAGTTGTAAACTTAAAAAAAAAAAAAAAAAACCACTGCTGTTAAAATTCGTCATTAGTATGTGAAATTCTCAAAAAAATAATTACCTACTCTGGTATATTAATTGAAGTGTAAATTATTATTTTAGTGTGGAGTCAAATAAGTTGTATACATTGGGCAATGCAAAACTGAACACATTTTTCTAAAATCTTTAGTAATGTTCAACACACTTAATACTAAAATTTGTACCTACTAAAAATGTACACTTCTTAGAACTTGAAAAATCCAAAAATAATTTTTATATTAAGAGGACGCTACCCAGGCAATTTCTAAGGAGTAAAGTATAGGCAATATTTCGAAAAATTTTCAAACTAGAGTTTGAACTATAATGTATACTTATTAATACAGTAATTAGGATACTTTGTTGTTGATTGCCATTTTTTTTTGTCAGACTACCACAGTCTTTTTTATAGGACAAGTATGTGAGGCCAGTATTAACAGTAAATTTACCAAATTTTCACATTTTATTTTTATTTTTAGTGATTTGCTTGCAAAATTGTTATGCGACTCTCAGTTTGATCGGTAGTGCTATATTTTTAAAACAACACACTAGTTTTATCAGTAAAAATGTATAAAAATCTTTAAGCTTGCATAATAAAAAAATTAAAAAGAAAAAGATTTTAAGCAAAAAGAGTGAACATTCCATTGCACCAATGAGTGAACATCGGGCAATCGTATGTGTTTAAATAATATCCGAGTAGGTCGATGGCACCTGTGATGTCACTTATCTTTTTCAACGAGCACTGCCTAATGAATAGATAGCCATGTCACTTTCAGCTACGATAATTTATGAAGACCTGTAACTAATCATGCTTGGTCTCCACTATATGCTACGATCCGTGCTAACTTTAAAAAAAAATGTATATATTTTTGTCTTGTTTCAGACTATGAGAATGGTAGATGAAAAATTTGAATGTCCAGACTGTTGCCACTACGACAGTGATATATTACCTGTGATAATTGATTAAGCGAGAAATTGCCTATCTATGCTTACAAATGGAATTATTAATGGGATAGGTTATAGGTCGATTGTTAATTTTTAAGGTTTATTTTTATTAAAGAATTTTCGTTGATAAGTAAATTTTTATTATAAGAAATATAATTTGGTTATTGTATTACCCTACAAATGTGTTATATTTTTGCCACGCGTAATATACACGTGTTAGACTTGAATTTTTATATTTTTCATTTCGACGAATCATGGAAAACATTTTTTTTAAACCTACAAAAAATTGTTTTCTCATCCTAATTGATTTTTGTACATAATATTATACGACTGTATAGTTATTTCTTTCGACTAAATAGTTGGCAATGGATAATCTTATGGTATTTTATAAAAATACATTCTATATGTATTTTGAGTACATGAAAACTTATTAATTATAACCCAAATAAGTACCAAAAAAAAAAAAAAAAAACAGCCAAGATTATAATGTCCACTAACAAAACATTTATTATCCAAATATATTTCATTGCTCCAATGGATAAAATTTGTATGTAATCACATACATATACATATATAATATATACACTCGCTGTGTATATATAAATAAATAAATAAATCAACTAAAACATTGGCTTAGCTCGTTAACACTACATTTTTTTTCGTTATACTATAATATAATTTCATTTGGTTATTTTATTTCAAAAATAACTTTAACATTACATTTCAAGTATAGTTTATGGTTAAAAGTCAAACGTATTATTATGATTTGGTCTGACATAATATATATATATATGTACATCAGAGCTTCACAAAAAAAAAAAAAAAAACTAAGGGAATTACAGTCGTCAACAATATACAATAGCTTACGGATACAACATAATATTATAAGTATAATTATTTACAAATTAAATAATAATCATAACATAATAATAACTTTAATACAATAATAATAATAGTCTTTTTTCCATATATTAATATTTTTCTTTTATTTATAATATATATATATATAAGTATACTTTTATAATAAATTACAAATTTATATAATATAAATTGTCGTTAATTTACAATGGCTGGCGCGCTAAGAGAAATACACTACGAACAAAATATATCGAAAACCGACATACGGCAAGTTAAACGTAACCGGGTAAAAAAACCAAAAAAAAATAAGGATCTTTAGGCTAAAGATTTTTAATTAGTGTTTGTTTGTTTTTCGTGCTTCCCAAATAATGATTTATCACAGATTATCTATCACTAAAAATAGTATTTTTTATCTGGGAGTTTTGTTGAAAAAAAATTAATCGGTAAATCGGTATTGGTATTGGCATGCTGTTATTATTATTTTTTTTTTTTAAATTATTATCAAAAACTTTAGACAATAGGTACATAATGTTATATATATTATAAAAACGATTTTTTGATTGTCGACAATAATAATAATAAAAAAAAGTAAAAACCTCGCAGAAGAAATACACAATGATAACATAAACGAAGTCGTATAATTATTTATAGAAAAATATATATTGTAGGAACTCCTCGTGTGTGGCTGGACGTGGGCGGTGGCTTAAGTATAAGACACGGTTTACAGCCAAGGGCCTAGGTCGCGTTCCATGAGCGCCGCCGCATCGGTTCGGCCCATGAGCCTCAAGACGTTCAGCAGATCGGTGACGGACGTGGGTTCCCTGTGTCTGGCTTCCCACAAGTCCAGTATTTGATCGGTGGGACTGGGCTTTACCGCGAAGTAATTGATGTAACTGAGAAACAAAAAAAAAAAAAAAAAAATGGTAAGTGTAAGGATAAAGTTTTTGAAGTGTGTGTAGACAGTAGAGATCAAAATGCCCGAAAAAACCGGAAAAGAACGGTTTTTTCCTTAGGTCTCGAAAAAAATGGAAAAATTGGGACTTTTTTTTAAATAATTAATTTCAGAAAAACGCATTTTTTTTTTAGATCTGATGTAATAAGCAATAGGAAGTCATAGGCGCTGTTTCGATTTTTAACTTGGGGGAGCTGGACATTTTTTTTAAATTACATATATAAGTAAATATAATTTTTTATTTTAAAATTGTCTAGCATTGGGGTGGGGGGGGGGGGGGGGGCTAAGCCCACCCTAGCCCCCCCGTATTTGCGCCTATGCAGGAACTTTTATTTCCGTATAAATAATGATCATAAATTGTGTTTGAATCGTATGCGGAAATACATTGAAAACAAAGAGACCAATATATTAGCGATGAAGAAATGTTTTCATCACTTAATAATAATAAATGATAATTAATAAGTTATCTGTTATTATCAAACTAAAATTTGATATTAAATATTGAAATGCCAATTGTTGTAACTTTACATGCTTTTACTTTATGACTTTTATTCAACTAAAGAACAGAAAATACCTAGTACAAGACTGATAATAAATATTTTAATAATAATAATAATTAAGAAATTATAAGACTGTAATTTGTTGTTGAATGTCAATTGTTATATTATTGAAATTCATTTTGTTTTACCAGAGTATGGAAAATTTTAATTTTTAGAAATATATATGTTATATACATTATGTCATATTTTCTTGTAAAAAAAAAGTATTAACCCAGATAAGTGAGGACTAAATCCAAAATGATTTTAACTTAACTAGGTCCTTATTTCATAAAAGATTTTAAAAATTATAACAAATTTAAAAATTACAAACAAAAAATCATCATAAAATCAATACATTCCTCGCTCCGTTTGGAATCTATCATAAAAATAACTCTAAAAGGTAGGTAGTTCATAGTTAATATTACTGTAAAAGTGTATTGTCATATGTTGCCGTACAGTTTATTCTTTCCCCCCCCAATTTTCCCGGGTTTTTTTTCCTGATTTCAATTTTTCAGGAAATTTTCAATCTCTACACGACAGGTGGGTCGGTGCTGGATACATACCGGTCCATGCGGAGACGCTGGGCCAACATCCTCCAGTCGTTGCTCCTAGAATTTGGCGGATCTAAACATTGACAGAGTTGCTTACGTAAGACTTTACTAAATCTGGACAAACAAAATTGTTAGTGACAACGCACAACGCACAACGCGCACAAGTAAAGCCAAAGTACATGGTGTAACTTGTGAGCATAATAATGATATGAACTTGGCTTGGACGACACTCACCTAAACGGCGCCGTGTCGCACGAGGTAACGCTGCTGGACCCGCTGCCGCTGGTGCTGGTAACCGTGCGGGGTTGCCGGTGGGGCTGATTGCCGCCTGCTATCGACGACAGACTGTTGGGGTCCTGGTTCACTTTGAACGTGTGTTTGACGTTTCTCAAGGACCCCGTGGCCGACGTCTGTGACACGCACACCCTGCACGACACGTTCACCCACGAGTCCGGGTACTGTTGGTCGAACGGTTCCAACGTGAACAGCACTATGGCGTTCGAGTTCCACAGGTTCGCGTAAGGTATTTCCTGATGGAGAAAAAAAAAAACGAAATCCGGTAAAAAACACTCTAACAATGACACGATCGTTGGAGATTTCGGTCGATCGAAGATCGTTCACCTTGTAATTGTCTTGGGGTTTACTCTTCCAGTTGGAACCGATGTCGTCCACGGTGATCACCAAATTGCCGCCGCCGTTTTGGAAACACAGCGATTTCGGTTTGTCCAAAAGCACGCCCCCGCTGACGCTGCGTTCTTGTTGTTTCAATCTCTGCGAGTCGAAAAAAAAAAACAAGCAAAAGTGATGAGTAAGTATTTTCCAAGCAAGCGTAACACTCCGTTATAAACTTAACAGAGTTCAGACGTTCGAGTACTTAAGGTACAAGTACCTAGAATACAGGCAGGCAATAGACGCTATTTTGGATTGAACAAGCTGTTTAAGTCGATAATGTTGTCTAAGAGCCTAAAGGTACAACTGTATGTAGAACTCTTATTCGGCCAGCGGTGATGTATGGATGCGAAACTTGGACGCTTCATAAGACACAACAGAATAATAACCTCTTAGTACTTGAACGAAAAGTTTTGAGGTCGATTTTTGGCCCTCGCATAGGATAGGAATACAGGAGAATGGAGAATTAGACATAATGTGGAGATCAGGGAGCTATATCAGAAACCAAACACCGTCGACGATATAACAAAGAGGCGGCTCTTTTGGTCTACCACTTGGTAGACCAAGGTTGAGGTGGGAAGAAGATGTGGAGCGGGTCGAACCGGATGCTGATTGGCGAGTCCTAGCGCAGGATAGATAAAGATGGCACGGCACGGGTTTGTCAGTTTGGTCTTAAAGGCCGTCAACTACGAGAAGAAGAAGAAGTGTAACTCCGAGCGACCGCTCTACCACGTACCTCCAAAGCCACTCCGTTGTCGTCTACGACGTGCACTCGGATGTCGTACTTGAACTTTCGATTTAGCGAACCGAACAAGGCCAACTTCAACATCTTGGCCGGCGGATTGCCTACCACCGTGGGGTCCGGTTCGCCGATCAACACCAACTTGGACAGGGTTTCGCTCATCAAGAACACTTTGTTGGCGTCCATCTGCACGAACACGGACGTGTTGATGGTTTCTTCGCCCAGCGTTAGTATTTTCTGCAAAAGGAACACAATGTCAGCAGGCCACAGCGGTTGTCAGTCTCGTCATATAAGAGAAGATATATATATACAGCAGCAGGTTTTCTCTTACCTTCCATTTGGGCTTAGTGCCGACGGGCGAGTCGCAGGCCAACACGGAAACTATCCAGGGTCCTTGTTGCAGATTGGCGCAATGATGCATTCCCACGATCACCGGTTTCTTGAAGCTTTTGCCGTACGGTCCGCACATCACGGCCGGGCTCAGTTGCGTTTGGCCGTCTGCAAAACAAACAACAATACACCGTCACAATAATTAGTATACAACAGAAACAGGATGTGTGTGTGTGTGTGTGTGTACTCCATTCGACGCCAGTCTATTTACCGGAGAGCAAGGGTTTGTATTCGTCTTGTAACACGGCGAACAGGACGGGTTCTTTTTGGTTCTTGGCAACCGCTCCTTCGGGAATGGTCAGCGAAACGCCGTACTCTTTGCATTCCAGCCGGCATCCGACCGACGTGGCCGCGGTTTCTTTCATCCACAAATAGTCTTTGCAGTGACACGCCGTGCCGCCGCTGGAATCCGATTGAGATTTGCCTGCGACACAAATGCAGCACAGTTTAGAACGGAGTAATACAGGTAAACAGGTAAGACTAGGGTTTTTTTTCTGTTTCCCATAAAACTACTCGACTAATACGAGAATGAATTAAACTATTATCCCAATCAAACGAGTAGTACGTAAAAGTCAAGAGTACATGCACACTTCATGCAGACACGTCGATACACGGATGTGTCCGGCAATCTAGTATCTCTAATCCGTATTAGTTAACCTCCATTAGGCTCCACGAATATAACGTCACTTACTCGAACACGTGTAGCTGGTCAGACTGTGGTTGGACCCGGGGCTGGACGAGAGCGCGTTCGGGCTGTCGGGCGCCGCCAAAGGCACGGGCGGTGCGATCGTGGCGGCCGCCGCCGCGGTGGTGATGGTCGACCCGGCCGCGTTGTGGTGCGGCACGTCGTAGTGGTGTTCGGAGCACGACCGGGTCAGGCTGTACGCGTTCTGGTCGTTGGTGAACGGGTATTCGTAGCACGACGGCACCACCACCACGGTCCTGGTCAGGTCGGGCTGCGCCTGGTGGAAGTGGTTGCAGCCGCCGTTCCTGGAGTGGCACTCCAGCGAGTACGTCTTCTTCTCTTGGTCCGGGAAGAACTCCGGCTGGAAGTCTGCAACCGTAATAATATGCGCACACCGCGACGTTGTAGTTTGTGCGATTAAAGGCGTTTTTGTTTTTTTTTTTTTGTCCGTCAATCCGTTTGTTCGTTTTTGTTTAAAAATATTATTCCCTGCCCCCACTTATTGTTTGGCGCGCGGAAGTCTGCATAATGTCGGGCGATTTATTCGAGTGGAAATGTCGAAATTATATACAAACACAATTACGGCGGCCGTCAACGACGACGACGGCATGATCTTTTATGCAAGAGATAGGAGACCTTCGCCGCTTGTTAGCGCGTGAATAACGTCGATTGACATTTAAATGAAGGCGCCATCATTTTAAATCGTTATCCCACGTTCGCCGGGGCTTCGAACCTCTACCTACCCGTCGGATCCTCTTGTATTATTATAATTATTAACGCGATTGTTTCACGTGTAAAAAAAAAAAAACCTCCCTCCCAATGTGTTATGTATAATATGCTCTCGATCCGCCCAAAGACGTCATCACGAGTCGTTTATGGACAGCTCCACACCCCCCGTACAGCAATCGTTATTGCAGGCGCGTATAATCTCCACGACACGTTGCAAACAAATATCAATAGCGTATCCCCAAGTTCGAGGTCCGCGTTAAGACGCTATTTTATAATATAACATAATATGATAATCACCCGAGTTGGCCATGTTGTACATGCTATGGTCGCGGCCCTTGTTCTTGTACAGTCTGAACAGCAGCACCATGCCGGCCAGCAGCACGGACGCGGCGATCAGGGCTACGTACAGAGCCACGTCGGTCTCGACCACGGATCTGGTAGCGGCTAAAACGAAAATAATTAAATACACGTTAAAGTTATAAATCTTGCGGTAATTACACTGAGAATATTATTATCGGTAAAAGTTTTGTCGATCACGAACGAAGGCGGTACTGGCGCGGGATAGTGAAAAAAATCAACACCCAATATACTATATATCAACATTGGGATGCCAATATATCGTGTACCTATGGTCGGAGCAAGTTTTTCACGTGATCCAACACCGTTTGTCAAACTTTGTCGGCCAACAGTTTTGTTCGCGTGAATTGATTTTATCGCACTTAACTGCCCGCCAACACGAATGCACCTTGTTTTTCGGATTTCCTGTTAATTGCGTTTAGCCGAGCACGCGGGTAACAGGATTGCTTGCCCGACACGGGGAATCGACAGGCCAACGAGAACACAATAATATACATATAGTAGGTGGCAGTTTCAATTTTACACACAGTCGCGGTTGTCAACTCCCAAAAAAAAAACTAAGACTATACCAAATAACATCATAATAATAATATGTAAGCACTCTTATTTGTTTCTTGTTGGATACGATCCAATTAAAGGCTCGGATATAATATAATGTTGTTATATCGGCTAGGAGGTTTCAAAGCTCGTTTCATAATTAAACCGTTCGACGGGTAGTAGGTAACAATTTATAAACGTTACATGAAATTTAATAACCGATTCTGCTGTGCGAGGCGACGATTAATTATCACCGCGGTGTTATCTTTATAATGTTATCATGTGTCGACAATGTGTTATTATTATAATAATGCACGCTGGTAAATATTAAATGGGTCATTCGCACGCGCTCGTTCAACCGAATCTTTGTGTTCCGTACAAACTCAAACAGTGTGTTTCTTCTTTATCTAATGATTGAATCGGCAGAGGTTCGGTCGAACAATTTCGGGGTACAAGTAGATCGCCGATAGAGTTTGTGAAAATAAATTATTTTATGTTACTGCGAACGTGTAAAGTAAACTGAAAAATAAAGGGTTCGACGGGGAATTTAAATTAAGGTTTTGTCGGTGATTTACTTTTATGCGCGGTTCTGCGAGCGAATTGAATTGGTTTTATTGGTGGCGTACACACACACACACACACATAACAATATGTTTACACAGAACAACAGTTAAAAGTATACATTTCAAAGTAGTTTTAGTAGTTTAAAAAATCGAATATTATGTTGTTTAGGAAAGCGGTTGAAAAAAAAAATGTAGGTAGGTACATCTAGTATAGTCGTTTTTAGTCACAAAAATCTTCTAGTCGCGTCGAAATTGGAAAAAATAAAAACCTCGTAAGTTTCACCGGCTCTTTAAGTCGGACCAGAAAGTATTTCGTCCGGAATCCAATTAAGTTTGGACCGGGCCGGTTCAATTAAAGGATTAGCGAAGGCCATACATACATCCATCGACCGGGCTCTAAACGGTTTTCGGTATTATTATTGCTCGGTCGCTTGCGGTTTCTTTTCTCGCCGTGCTGTTGATTCTGCTAATAAAACGTCATATATATACCGCCGTCTGTTGTTGTACACGAGTCAGAAAGTCGTAAACCCACAAAGGCCGCGACCGCCACAAATACATTTTACTGTAAAACATTGGCGAACCGTCGCCGCGTCGTCTTTGGGACTTTTCGGAGGAATTCGAGACGTTCGAGAATTGTTTTCAATCGGATTCGAGTGCACTACTGCGTTGTTGAAGGTTTAAAAGTTTAATTAAGACCCGCGTGCCGCGCGCAGGCCGGCCGGCTGGGGGTAGGTGGTTCTCGTTGGCGAGATTAAAAGTAACCGTCGGGGAAGAGGTCAAAAAGCTCTCGGGCCGAGTGTTTGAGATTACTTGGCCAATCGACCGGAGCAAATCCGGACTCGAAAAGGAATGATAGCTGAGAGGGGTGTCTTCCTTTTGTCGGATTGTCTAACGCCACCGCGCCAAAAGACCCCGCCGAATGGTGGAATTATATTAATATAGCGATTCAACTATTTCATTGTACGGACGTTGAGTATTTTTCAATCGCGCCCCCCCCCCCCCCCGCCGAATCCACACTGCCGGCCATTCCCAGAGCGTATGTCAGAATGTCAGCCTGTGTCGACGTTTGATTGAATTTACAATCAAAAACACAACACAGCAATACTCCACACGTTAGTAGTGCGATTACAAAAATGGTCGGCGTTCAGTTTCGAAAAAAAAAACACAATAAATCAGACAACATTGTGCAATTGTTTTCAGTTGATCAGTCCTGTCTGACAGGGATGGGGGAAAACCAAAGGCTTACTATCTTGACTTAAGCGGCTATTACGAGTTGATCTTCATTGTCAACGTGGTGGGGGACTTTAGGTCGATGGGACGGTACCAATAAGTCTGCGTCCGTTTGTTGACCATCGATAAGAGAAGGCGCCACAATGGATACCTCAGACACAACAGGGTTAAATGACGTTTCTCTAATCCGGCCGCCTCGGTGCTGTATTAGCGTTTTGCAAAAGATATCGGCCTCTCGTCGCGCGTCTGTCTAATGATCGTGTCGGCGGCGGGTAGTGTGTGTGTGTGTGTATGACTAATGTTGTCTTACGGCGTGGCGCATCAATTGTTCGGGATTTGTCTTGCGTGCACCCCCGAGTTAAAAGCGCAGAGAGAGCGGCAATTATTTTCGCTGCGACGGATAAACTTGTTCCTTCCGGCGTCGCTTCATCATGGTCGTCGTCCCTGTTCGCACAGGGGCTTCTTTATTGTTATCAAGCAGCGGCCAAGGGGTTCGCATGTCGTCGGCCGGGGTCGTTACTGCGACGACTGCAATTTGTCCGATTTGTCACCATCGCTAGCCGGAAACTTCATCCCCATCTCCCTCCCACACAAAAATGTTCGCATGAATTTCCCTTTGCACATTCCGTCGCAGCCGTCCGTACACACACACACACCACTCAGTATTGTATTATACTCTAACGTGTACGACACATTCTGGCCGGATGGGTGGGGGGCAAAGCGCGTTATTAAATTGTATAACGGTTAAACGGACAAGTCAAAAAACCCGAGAGCACGGCTAAGCCCGTATGGTTGTCGGTCGGTTTCTGTGATGGAAGCGAGTGCGTACACGACCAAAAAACACCCCCAGATAGAGTGTCTAGAGTCTGCCTGAGAGAGACCGGGGGGGGGGGAGGGATGGGGTTTCCGTCACGGATCGAGCTTTGCTGGTAATTTCCGGATAATTGTAAACGCCAAAGTTTTAGAGCCGCCCGACAATGGCCGTTTGTCATCGTGATGGCATGCTCGCTCGCAGAGCCCGGTTTTGCTTCACAGGAAATTCTCTGCTGCTGTTTTGCCCGGCTGAGCCTCGAAGTGCGTTTACATTAACATTACAACAATGGGCGGGGAGACGTTTCGATTTTCGCTATGTGTATCAGTATATATGTCGAAAAGTGGACACGTTTGATAAACACAAAAATCGTATATGGAAAACGTATAATATCACTTAAAAACTATTACCGTTGGGCAAAAGTAACCGATACTGGAGAGGCGCGGGATGGAAATGATTAAAAAGACCATATCATATTCGTACACCCCATCTTTTTTTTTTTTTTCAGATCGGCTGATTTTAATTTCCTGTTGATATAATTGAATTTTGCCGTGATAGATCCGATCTTTGACTGCGCGGCCCTCTTCTCCGCATAAATTCAATTACATATATATACGTATACTTGCCGCTAAACTTTCGGCCCGGCAACCCTCTTCGAACCGGATAATGTATACCTACCTACCTACCTACACATTGAAATGAATAATCGCCACGTGTATAGGTGTTAGAAGAACTGAAATCTACACCAACCGCGTGTAAACGGTTATAGCAATCGATTTGGCATGTTTTGGAGTACACGTGTACACAGAGCTGTTTACCTATGTGCAGGCCTGACCTTTTTCGGTTTCACGTTATGACTGCCAAACGCAAGTTTATGTACGTTCTTGAAAAAAACGTGGTTGCGCCGGTATTTTTTGCAATAAAAACGGATGTTAATTTTTAAACGTATTCTTAACAAGTGATCATCTCGATATTTACGACTTGTGTGCTCCGACTTATGTACTTATGTTCGATATTTATACCGTCCTTAAACGCCCAACGATCGGTAGGTATATACATGTATACCACTTATCTATCATTTTTAAGTACTGTTTCACCATTACCGCAATAATAACCGTGCCGCGTAAAAACGTTAACTATCAGGTGTAATACTATATTATACTATGTAGCAAAGCATAATAACATACCTTCTTCGGTGAATTGTTCGTCGTCGTAATTTACAGGGTCGTCTCGTCCACCTGAAACAAGTTAAGAAGACTAATAAACTTCTGCTTCAATGTATACCGCTGTCAGATTCGGACGTTTTCGCTATTTCACCGGCAACAAGGGGAACGGAAAACGCCAAGCCACTTTCTGAAGTGTCTACAAGTGTTTGTTATAAAGTTTACTATAGGTTCTCTATGTGGGCTAAAAGGTGGGTGTTTTAGTTTTGTTTTAAAAACTGCACTTAAATGGAGTACACTTGGAGTTCTCGAGAGTGTTGTCGGACTCACCTATGCAAGATCCTCCGGAACAGTTGCCCGACATCGTGTCCCTGCCGGTACAGTATCTTCCGCCGTTCGCAGGACTGGGAGACGTGCAGGTCCTGGTGCGGTGATGACGGCAGTCGGGGCCGCACGGAGACCACGGTGACCACGAGGACCAGTGACCATCGATTACTGGGGAAAAAAACAACAAAACAAAGAAAACGGTAAATTTCATTCGGCAATATGTTATAGCGACGACGGTTGTGTTGAAACAAGCCGCGATATATATATATATATATATACTTAAAAGTTAGGTCAGGACGGTCATAAAAAAAAAGAAAAAAGAAAAGGATAAGGAATAGCACGTCGGCTGGAAGCGTTCGCCGAGGGTTCCATACTATACACAGCTCTGATATACTGGCCGGTTCGGGGGTTCGGATGTAGTCGTTACATATATTTCTTTTTGGCAATAAAATCGTAAAAGCTCGAGGAGACGACCGGCAGAGGCAGTACGTTTGCGGAGGATTGGACTTTAGTTTTCCGGCCGATTTAACTAACGGGCCGTTGTAGTGTGTAAAAGACTTTTAAACACACACGCTCGCCGTGTTTCCGGACCCTATAAACCACCGTACACCACACGGTGTATATTATGTAATTTACATGGACGGGTCGGACCAGCGAGAGAATAACAACCAAAGACCATATAAAACGGGCGTCTTAAACAACACTTCAGGATCCACCGACCGAACCGCGAAATTCGGACAGACGCCAGATGATCGATCATCACATTGTCCGGGCAGTAGGTATTATTATAAAATATAATTCATCTATCTCTCGGCCAACCGATCCGGATCCCGGCGCGGTGGTTGCTCTGTAACGGCCGTATTCAACGAGCCATTAGCACTTGAACTCTATACAGCGGGGGATGGTTAGAAACGACCCTCGCGCAGTTAGTAAAGATTTCTCTCCCCCCCCCCCATCCGCAGCACGTGTTCATACCAAAAACTGCTATACTCTCGCGGGAATTGCACCGCGCGTAAATGCATTTTAAACAGCCGCTATTTCTTCTCGGTATGGCGGTGAAGCGGAACAGTCCATTCGGCCGTGTATACATTATGTAAACGCATCGTTTCAATCAAGACGTTTGCTAGCACCGAGCTCGATGGTTTTCATCGACTTGTCGCCATTAATTAACCGCCGAGACAGTCGTTAACAACGGATTACACGCCACACACACACGTTACAGGTCACATTGTGTATGATGAGGCGGCCACTCGAAAGCGAAATCTCCAACTGCCAACTGTCACGTGGCCCGAAGGCGCATTGTTCGCGGAGCATTAAACACACACAGTACGCGGCCAAAATTGACGGTATCTACCCCTTCTCGCATGTGCAAGTGTAGTCTTGGCCGATGCCTATGTACAATGTGTAAACCGCAATAATAACTCCACCGACCCGTTGGCCGCTTTCCGCCCCGCCGACCGGTTTTGAATTAGTGCTCGGCTATTGTTTCAATTCAAATTCACGTACCCTTTTAGGGTGTCATTTGTCTTGTGCACCACCGCCGCCACCCTGTCCCCTCGGGGCAATAATAGCCCGACTGTCCCCTGGGGAACACCTATACGCCGCAAATTGTTTTTAAACGACCCATCGCGACGAGGAAAATAATTTCAGCAAAAAAAAAAAAAAAATACTATGTATAATTTATTTATTAATAGCGTTGTGATGTATTGTGTTGTACTCGAAAAATCTCACCCCCCCCCCCACTCGAATAAAAAAAAAGTTTTAATATACATTAAACGAGCCTGACATAAAAAAAAAATCACGTTTTTTTTTTTACACACAATATTGTCACACCTATATCGAGTTATATGTATGCAAAAATAAAAATAAAAATAGACATTAATAACATTACCGAATGTAAATTATTATGCGCCAACGAGAAACAATAGGTAAGACATATTTGTCTATTTTTGGTTTAAGTCAAGTACGGGCTATACAAATTTATAAACAATGGTTTTATTCTTAGGTGTAGCAAATACTAATGGGCGATAGTGGTAATATAGTAGGTGTATGATTATGATTTATGGAAAATCTAGACCGTTTAAAGTTTATATCGATTTAATTATGGCTTAGATTTTCACTTCTATAAATTTACTATACATGTATATAATTGCCAGATCATTCTGGATGTGCATTTTTTTTTTTTTTTACCAAACAAGGTATAAATGTTGTACAATTTTATGGCGATTAGATATATGTAATGTACTTTTAGATGTTTTACTAGACGGTGTTAACGCGCCAGAGGACATGTAGCGATAATATTATTATTGCCTAGTATATGTTATATTAGGCGATTATGTTTTAATAGCTGCAGCAGTTTTCCGGTGTACACGCGATATTAATATTTGAAAAGAGAACGTGTTTCGCTTGGAATGTTTCATCACGGTGAACATACAACCGGCTTCGGTTAGGTACGATTTTAACACAGAAAAACATATTTATCATTTGCCGAATTCATTTGTAATCATAATGTAATATTTTTACTCTATCCAAATGTACATCCGGTTCGTTCGCCGTCATCGCAGTTACTATATAGTATACAGTTTCCGATCAATTTTGCTCACCTCCCTATGGGTGGCTGGAACATCTATAACCGTATCCGTAATGTAGTTATACGCGGTGGAGAGCCATCCGGCAATTATTGCATATCCGCAATGTGTGGTCGCGGTTAATTTATGCTGTACGGGACACACAATGAATATTTCACACAAGGGCTGAGACGTCGGTACCAGAGAGCAGCAACCGCGCACACACACACACAGGGAATTCGCACTAATGGCGGTCAACGTTAAATTACACGCCTACCCCTTTTTGCTTTAGAACAATAATTGGCCGCCGGTTAATGATAAAAATCTTCTGAAACCCATAAATCGTCCTGGAACTGCCCGCTGTTGTTTCCAAAGTTTACCAACACACACACACACACACACACAGGCATCATAGTACACGGTTCCCTAATGATTTATTTCGAATACCAATTATGTAAATAGTTTATTATTACTATGTAATTCGTTTGTGTAGTTGTATTTTTTTAATTTTATCTATACAGATTATAACGGTAAGTGTTCGTCATTTATTGTTGGCTCGTTCGAACGGGTGAAATTTCCACTGCGATTATCGTCGCACAAAGTTGAGCGTCAAAAACTTTATAATGAATTATGCAAAAACGACCGGGTGTACGTTTCGACGTTGCCCAGTTTTTAATCCTCCGTCGTTAGTTCATGCACACGGCCGTACACCGACACCTGGTGCACACTTGCAGTTGGGGGTTCTAAACCGAATTAAGCATTTTATTTCTCGCGTTTTAGTACCTGATGTGCGGCGCAAAAGTGCGCACAGACTTGATAAATAATTGATGAGCTACGACGACGGTGTGGTCGAAAAGACGTTGACGACTAACCGGGAAAATCAGACATTTAAATCAATCGTTTCGATGAAAAACCCAAGAGCTGTACCTATTAATAATGCAAGCATCTTAAATGTGTTTGCACTACGCCATAGACTTTGGGTGTATAATAATATTACACAATGATTGTGTTTAAGAAATGTACGGTTTATTGATGACAAATGGCCCGTGTGTATTATTTTCGATTATGTTCGGACGACCTAGATATGTAATTGTATTCTTAAGGAAAGACATTATTTATGTCATAGAGGCGCCTGTGTTTTAGCTCGTAGCCTACTAATCGATCAACAAGCCAATTGGAAGTTATAGCTTCGTGCAATTACACACACTCGCTCGGGCCGATATCTTTCACGAACAGACTGGCGCCTGATAATTTCTTTTTATAACCACCCCCCCGTAGGGTGTCGGGTAGTAATTTGTCTTACAGCTATATAGTATTATTATGTCGGACAGTCTCCTTACCTTCTTCGACGACGCTGTCGCTGTATTCGCCGTCTGAAAAACAAAACAAATACAATTTAGTTAAGACTTTATACTGAAACGAAGAAATTAGTTGTTGGTAGGTTTTTGAGACCGGAAACTAATTTGGAAAATATCGCCGTTTACCGTGCTCTGTTCTCGCATTAGGATATTATATGACATTGTCCAAGGCTCATTAGGCGCGAAGTCTTCCGTTTCACCGACAAATGGGACAACAATACACACAAGACACGGCGGCAACACTGCTCGTTTATCGCTCGAATACTCCTGCCGCGATGTTATCAATTACTTTAAGCCTCCACCGTCGGAAATAGTTTGCCCACAACAGTATTTGATTAGACACACAACACTGTTTAACGCGCCGCAGTCGTGAAAATCGACGTGGCTCAATTAATTACAAACGCTCCAATTGATTGTGGCCGATTGCTTTTAAAGCCGGTTGGAACATTACACGGGAAATGTCAGTTTCCAACACTGTCAATCGGTCGACAGGATGGTCCGACATCAATTCGGTAAAGAGATTCCTATAGTTGTTTGGCTCTCTTATTTAAAAATTTCAGTTTCCCGCAATGAAAACATAAATTAAATGAAAAAAAGAGCAGCAGAAGAACGCGATTTGGTGGTATTACATTATATTATAATATGACGGTTATTTTCGGTTTGTTTAATAGAGACGGTCCGTGGAATTTTCGGGCGAATACTACACACTACACGCGGTGGTATACCCGGCCGAGAATTAATCGGATTTCCGTTGTGGGGTTAGCGGCGGCGGTATTAAAATATTTTGCAACCAACGGAGCGTGCATACAGAGCAGGTTAATAACATAGTCGGCCAAATGACCGGCCGGCAAACCCGGGAAAGCCTGGCGAAACATATCCAACAACAACCCTCGTCAACGTATTCATTAACGTATCTCACTCTCACTCTCACTCTCTCTCTCTCCCCATTGGTTTTGGAGCATTATACGTTATATAACACTATTATTATATAAATATGGGGTACAAAATATAACCTCATCAAACGGTTAATCCGGACGTAATTATACAGATAGGATTAGCGCATGCTGATTGCGATAATAATAACTCATAAACACAACAACGTACGGTGCACGTGTCCCGCCATTGTATAGCTATTGTACACTTGACGCGTAACGCCATTCAGAAACGTTAGTAAAAGGAATCAAAATTTGCGTCGGACACCTTGTTAGCCGAATTATTAGCCCCATTTGTACGATTTACAGCAATACCCTCTCCTGATTCTCCCCTCCGGCTGACTGGCCGTCAAGTAGGAAAGCCATCTTATTGTATTCGGTCTGGAACAAAAGTTTTCCTGTACAACCGTCTTTTCGTGACCGTTTAACAAATCCGACGGTCCGCCGCCCCCGTCTAATGGAGTTGGGAAACTTTTAAAATGAATCTTCAATTATTCGCCGAGATTGGATTGTTGTTTTTAACTGTCGATAACTATATTATATTTCCATTCGATAAACATCTCACTCGGTGGTCGTATTTGGATCACGTTACAACACCGTTTTGACCGCAAGAACACGCTTATGATAAAAATTTTAAAAAACCGCCAGTCAATAATTATAAGCCACAAAAGAATGTATAGGGACTAGTCGTGAATCAGATAATGAACCTCTTATATTGGACAACTCGTTTAGACCGCACTGCCAATATTAATGACACGACAAATAATAATAATATTATTAATCGATGCGATTTCACGGTTTTTGCGTTTTCTTCTATTCTGCCAGTATATTATTTTTTCAACGTCCAACCGTATTAGTATTTGACACCCATCGTGTCCACAAAAAAAAAAAAAAATTAAAAATTAATATTAATCTAGCGTATATGCTAAAGACAATGCGGTCCCGTCTACTTTGTAATCTATTGAGAGAGTGGTGCTATAGTTGCCATAGTATTTTTGGCGCTGGCACACTGGTCGTTTATAATGCAATTAAGTGTCAAATACAAGAGTTTAATTTAATTCACGCGCTCTTTGTAATTATATATTATCGGTTCGTGTGTATGCGCGCCGCCTAACTGTAATGACAGAGTAGAGTTGTGAAATGTATGTATCTAATTTCCATCCGGTATCGCGTTGGGACTTTCAAAGGGTTTGTGGGCAGAAAACTTGAGGGCCAGTGACCCCCTCGTGGCTGCGGAATGGGAGGCGTGTGAAATTTGCTCGTCGAGGGTCTCGACACGTGTTGGCGACGGGGTTTGGATTTTGATATACAAGTGACGGTTTTTTTTCATATATATATATATACATAATATTATATCCTCTGTAGTGTATATTCATTTTGTGATAATATGTGTCACGCACAAGCGACGCAAAGCTTTGGAATGCACGTGGGTCCGTCGGGTGTGAGTGTGACGGTGTATATTGATCAAGGCGGGTATAGAACGGCGAAGAACCGGCCAAAGCCATAGGACAACGATAAAAAAAAAATGCATTACCGCGCGTTGATGGGTGACCGGTGTGGGAGAGCTATGTGTGGTGTTTCATACTGCTGGGTGACACATTAAATTTAATTAAGCGGCGACCGCGTTAACCTGGCAAAAAGCGATACGAGACGTGGATTTATACGGCTTGCACAGACTGCGTAGGAATTTTTTCTGTTCTCTCTCTCTCTCTCTCTGAAATCCGCACACGTTTTAATTTAGTTTACCTTCGCCGAGTGTGTGTGTGTGAAAAAACTTTGCTGGAAAAACATATTATTATTATAATAACGAGAGTCCCACGGATTGGTAGCCTCGAGCTGGGGGTAAAAATAAAATAAGACCGTTTTAGCGACAAAAAAAAAACGTCTCTTCGGTTTCGCTTCGAAGCTAATAATTAAGACACGGCTAACAAACAAACAATGTGTATCATAAGAACATGTATCCGAATGTCAAACGCCGTTAATACACACTCACACACACACAATATGTCGATTGAGCTTTTTAGGCTGGTTCATATGTAAGTAAAAAGCTTTTAAAATATATTTAACTAAAGCCGGTCCTTTGTACGCCCGAGTAAACCGGAATATACTATTGAAGTGAAAGACATGACATTTTTGCATTACAGTTGCTACACAAACAAAGCTTGAAATAATTAGTTGCTCGCCGCGAGGAAATTCAAAATACAACGTTCAGCTGTATTCCGTGTTCTGTTAAACCTATGTTGTAATGTAATAATCTTAACCCTCTAAGTATTATTTAAATGCGAAGCGTACGGAGCGTTTTAACTGATCTAATTTCCACAGAACTCCAACTATACGTTGACGAACAATAATCTTATTAGTTCCCAGGGAAGACGGTCCAAATGTATATCATATTTATGATCAGTACGTTACGTTAACTTTGTATTATTAAAATAAACAAGCTACGTACAAGTATGTAGTACACACACACGCGCGATGACTATTGTCATACTTCTTTACACGCAGGGGTTGCATTTTGTCTTTGAACCGTTAATATTATGTACCTTATATGAACAAACATCCCTAGGCCTTCTCAAGCAACGGTTACGAAGGCGTCTAGCAGTTGTAATTAGAAAATTCTTGGGTTTTTCATTCTGCCGGAAAGGATTAATATATATTTTCCAACAGAATATCGCGTCGTTCGGCTAAACGTTAAATGTATAATATTATATTTTGTCGATACAAACGGTTTGTACACGGGCAATAATGTTTATGAAATGTTTTGCAAACGTCCAAGAACGCGGCTTTTCCATTAACAACAATTAACGCCAGATGTTTGCTACACAGCCGTTTTGCATATATATATATATATAAATATATATATCAGTTTTATATCGTACATATATATGCATATTGAGGGGAGGTGGTCATTGTGACAACACACTATTCATTATTTGGCGGGGTATACGCACAATAAAAGATCGGAAACGAGAGGGTGTGCCAGCGAGCGCGTAAAAGGGTTGACTGTCGTTTTCCGACGTATGTAACGGCCTAAATTGCAGCATAATGGGGTGGGGGGGGGGGTGCTCGGATGTATAAAATAAAATAAAAAATCAGGTCGCTAATTTCGGTGCAACGTATTTCGGTTCGTTATTATATATTGAAAGCGCGACGACGGTCGTCTGCGCTGCGATGCTGATGTTATCTACAAAGGCCAGAATTTGATTGTTTTTTTTTTTTTTTTTTTGTTATCACTAACATGGCGAGAATCTAATTTGCCCGAAATCCATTAAGGGCCGGCGCGACACGGCCTACGCGGGGTCAGGATTTTGGTTTCGGTCCGGAGATTTTCCTTTTTTTTTTTTTGTTTTCCGTCCGGTAAACGTGCGCTTTAAGTGACCACGTTTTTGTCGCGTGCACCTCCTCTTCGGCGCCGGAGTGCGTACATACTAATTGCTCACGTGAGTAGCAAATATATAGAGAGAGACCAACGGTTTTGGAATACAAATTGCGGAAATTAAAACTAAGTGCACACGGGCGCGCAGATGCCGCTCTGCTATACGGGGTCCCGGGGCCAGCAGCAGCGCAGCAGCACCATTAACCCTTCTTATATTGTTGCAGATTTTACCTTATTTTTTGTCGTCCCACGGTGCTTATGCAAAGCGTATCCACTTATAGAAAATCCGCGGCCGAAAGGGTTTGCCGGGAGCGGCGCAACAGCGAAAACAAATAATGTTTACACAGGTCGTGTAAACAAACGTCTTATTTTAATATAATCTTTATCGTTTTTGGTAGGAAATCGCCGCCGCCGCCGCCGACAACCCCCCCCCCACTCTCCTTATGTTGTTATGCTAATGTGTGGAACACGACGAAAAGCGCGCTCGAATAACGCCAAAATTCTTTGTGGAGGACCTCGGATATAATATGAAAACTACCACTGCTATCGCTGCTGCTGCTGCTGCTGCTGCGACCCTTATGTGGACTATATATAATAACTCTATATACCTACTGCGACTATAGTTTAAAGGTAGCCGTTGACTTGCCCTTTTTGTTGTCAGTCGATTTTTCTGTCATACATACAATTTTTATTACCCGTACAGTGGTGTAGCTGCCCCTACCCTATCATTGTGTGTCGGTCGGGAAAAAGTGCAGTTTGCATATCTTATATGTTCACAAGCGCACACACACACGCCGTCGTACAAACGGCGTAAATAAATAATAAATATGATATTGCTTATTCACGTTTACGTGCATGCATATTTATACACACGCCCCTCGCAGTCGCCGGGCATGTACGGTTATTTATTTTCCTTATTTTAGAAAAACTTTCTACTCAAAAGTTTCCGAGCTTTTATAAGAATTGCATATACTGTTACTATATATATATATATGTACAGTTAACCGCAAATCGTGCGCGTAAACCCGGAAGTTTATTAATTTTAGTTTAACGGCAAAAACTGAGTATTTTGTGGAATCCGCGAAATCAGTTATGAGTTTTCCCAGGTAAAAGAGCGCCCTTTCAGTTTGGGCGCATAAGCAACGTCGTGGTGAGAGACTATTATTACAGGTATAACCGAATTTCAGGTGTGTTTACACGGTTTTGCGTTGTCGACGAAAATCAAAGGGCCTCGGAACGGGTAAAACGTCGATTGTTAATTAATTATTATCAGAAGGTGTGTAATCTCAATTAGGAACACCGTAGCCCATTTACCTACTACGACGGAGTCGTTATCTTGTCGGCCCGGAGAACAATATAATAATTATAAAGCAATCGGAGCGGTGTAAGGCATAGGACTTAAGGGCAAGGTCTTACAGCCGGGGGTAAAGCTCTCTTATCGAAATTCTCTACACAGAAAACCCGTCATCCGCGCCTAACGAGCGCAAGCCGACAAACGGCTTATGATTTAACTTGACTGAAGGCCGACTACTCGAGATTTGTGAAGTCAGTTTTTACAGGTATGCATGTAGGCATCTACATTGGAATTCGCATCTCCCACGGGTATGTGACACAGGCATTGTTTTTTTTTTTTTTTTTAATATGTAATAATAATGGAATCACAAGGCTTACCGGGACATATGGAAGTGCACTCGGCTTTGTGCACGGCCGAACCGACACAGGGTTTGCCGCCGTTGAGCGGCACCGGATTGTTGCATACCCTGGACCTTTTTTGCGTTCCTTTGCCGCACCGGGAACTGCATTCCGTCCACTGGGTCCACGGCGACCATCCTCCGTTTACTGAAAAAAAAAAAAAAAAAGAACCATAATTAGTATAACTTACGGTTAGAGGTTAGACCGGACGGGGACGGGTGGTTAACGCGTTTTAACAATCGAGACAATGTTTGTAATTTATTTCCAGAGTTTTCTGTTTTTTTTTTGCATCCCCTATGCACCTACACCACCAGAGGAGGTGAGTGTTTATTTTAATTCATTTTAATCGGCCGTAATGTAATGTAACGTGACCGCGGCGATCGCCATTAACCGGCGCGCGCGGAATCGTGATGGCGAAAATATGCGTGTACAGACATACACATATATATATATATTATTATAATGTACTTAGGCCGTATGTGTGTGTATAGGTAATACCGGCCCCGGGATGCTGCCCAGATATCACGAACTTGTGATTTAGAGCACGTCGGTTGGGTTTCTCGGTTGGCCGCGAGTCTATATATTTTATCGTTTGCCGAGGTTGAAAAAAAAGTCAAACAAGATCAACCGGGGGATAATAATAGCGGCAATAAAATACATATAACAGCTATATACAGCAGTATAGGATATGCGGTACACAATCGGAGAGAGGAAAACGCCATGACGGATAACAGGGCAAAACTAAAAAAAAAACAAGCGTATTATCTTGTGAATAAAAAACAAGAGTGAGTTTTTTTTTTTGTCGCCTTTTGTCCGGACGAGCAGCAACAGATGATGCGCGAAACGTCTTGGTCTCCTGTTCCTCCCCCTCCCCCTTCTCCTCGACTTAAAATATTCTGATTATTTTCCATTCGAACAAATCCAAACGATTTTATTGAAAAAAAAAACAGAGAGTTCGACAAATAATGAACGAGCGATTTAATTTTCAATCAGCGTTCGAGATTTGCCAAATTAATTGTGTTTATATTATTCCCAACGCGATTGTGAATAATTGACGGTTTCATTATCGGTATTATTATTATTATTTTTGATTTATTTGGTTAAGCGTTTCCACCAAACTAGGTTACAGACAATATTATTATCGTCTTAGTTCATTTGTAAATAGTGTATTTAATTTTTTTTCTCCTCTTGTGATATATTATATTATTAAATACGTTGGTTTAGTATTATTTTACAGCTGTTGTATATTTATTTATAACTGATGGTATTCGTTTTGTTCGCTCGAATATACATATTATAATATTTCTTTTTCTTCTTCTTGTATTTTGTTTAAGAAAAACACGTCATACAAAAATATAACTTTGTAAGCCTTACATGGTAATGTTATTATTGTGACAGTGAAAAGTCAGAGAGAGAGAAAGAGAGAAAGGATGAGAGCGGATGAGAATGAGAAAATACCGCCAATATTTTTCATTTATAATCAACAACGGCGTGGTCGGAAATAAAAGAATGATTAAGTCGTTTTTTTTTCTTTCGTGTGAAACTTTTTTGAGTAACAACAACAACAAAAAAGTCGTGTCTGGCCAAGCTGTTGTGTGTTCATAAACGACGTTGGTTTTTATTTTTTTTGACATCACCGCCACTACTAAAAGTTAAGACGATTCACACGTTATTGTTGACGTATATGAATACATTACCCGAACAACCGAGTCTATTGAACAATTTGCCTTTTTTGTCTTCTTGTTCGTATTTCAGCTCACGGAATTCTGATGTAGATTTTGTTTTGTTATTATTACATTTTGTTCGACAAAGAAAGTTATTTAATATGTTTTAACGCACTTCACACGATCACGAATACTTTGGATGCACACTAAGCGAACGGACACCGTTGGGCTAGTATTCCTTATAATACATAATACTCATATAACTCATTCGAATTAACAATTAAATATTATATCCGAAGGGCGAGCATTATAAATATTTTTTTTTAATTATCTAAATCGATAAGCAATCGAATCGTACATCTTTGGTGTAATCTTACAGAACGGATCTTAGTGAGTTTTTTTTTATTTTTGTTATTCTGTTAACGAAGATACGTTTAATTTCCATCCATCCGTGTTGTTGTTGTATTTTTTTTTTTAATTTTTAATTTGAAATTCTCTTCACAAAGTGCGTACCGTCCGCCCCTTCATTAAGCAAGTTTGCGCCGAAGGGGCGTATAAGTGCCTTAATAAACTACAACGAAATCATCTTGAAGAGCTAATTGAGAACGTGATTAGTTGCTATAATTGATTATTTTACAGGTGCGAGGGAAAAAAATGTTAATTAAACCGACTGACCGACGCGAATTCGGTAAATTCCAAAAAACGAAGAGTGCGTTGTCCAAAGGGTAACCACTAACCGGGTGTTTAATACAGTAACCGTTGTACAATGCATTTAGCGTAGGTATAGGATTGCCGTGGCAATTATTGCCTCGACGCAAAACGTTGATTGCCGTAGACCGTATATTACAGCCAATCGACGGACACACACACTTAGATACCTATACAATGGTGCTTGGACGGTGGTGATGATGGTGGCGGCCGTCGGAATATTGTTTCGTTTTTATCGCTTTTATATATAACAACTTTTATTGCAAACTGCGTGCCGGGCCATTAAAAATGTTTACCCGGCTGTTTTCTCGGCTGCACAACAATACAAAACAGCGTTTTCCTTAAACCCGAAACGAACGGTATACAGCACAATATAAACGCCGGGGCGAGCCGTAATTAAACTATACTCACCACACACACACACACACATATATTATACGGCCTAAGGAGGGGACCCACAGTCGGTAGGGGAGGGTTACCGGGGGGGGGGGGGCGTGTGTCTGCGAGCGCACCCCGCACGTACCAAGAATCAACAGCACACGGTTTAACGTTACACCGAGGAGTTTTGTTGGTGTCGGACGCGATTTGTGGCAAGTTTGCGGTGTTTGTGGTGGGGAAAGCAGCCCTGCCCTGCCCTGCCCTACTCGACGGAGGGGTGGGTGCACACACACATATGTAAGAGGAGCTTTGGCGGGGTAGGGGGAAAAAACTTACGTCTCGTTAACGAGATTTTCAATAAGGAAACTTTCGGGGCGGCGACAAAAGACTTTTGAACTCACCGGTATGTATGCGCCTGATATACATACGGAGAACGGCCAACGGGCGGTGTAAATGTGTCCAGCAAGAGGAAGAGGAGGTGGTCGGCGGCGATAAATAGAGAAAATCGACGGATTTCCATTTCACTTGAACACGTAAGACGACGTTGTCCGACTAAAAACACACGGCAACAAAGTTTTCCGTACAGTCGAGCGCGCGATATACCCGTCAACGCAGCGAAATAAACGTTTTCCGATGGATATATATATATGTATATGTATATACAAATACAATATTATGTGTGAGGTATCGTTTGCCGTTATAATAATAATAATACAGAATAATAATGATGATGACAATAATAATATAGTCCCATCGATGGCGTGCAAAAGAGCAAAGAAATAAAAGACAGTTGGCGCGCAGGTGCGACACGAAAATTAGAAAAATATATATACATGTATAATGGGCACGTCGTTAAATTGGTCAAACGGGTTTTTTTTTTATACTGAACTTTAATTGCGAATTACAATAATAATAATATATGTAATCGCGTTTTACGCCCCACTGCGACACTGATTGTATATATATTTTTTTTTCGGTCGATGATTAACGGGTTTACACTATATGATTTGATCGCGTTGTGTGCAGATTAAAAAAAAACAAAACCTGTGAATGAATACGTTTTTAGATTAACATGTCATTATTATTAAAAAAAAAAAAAACCACTAATAATATAATTACAATCGAAACGCGTTTGTCAGACAATTAAAATGTACCAATGTAAAAAAAAAAAAAAGTTTTACATTATGTGCGTTATTATCATAACGTTGATGTGTTACATCTATGACACGTCTGTGTACAGTTATAATGTCTCCTAGTGAGTTTTACATTGTCAACGATCATATATTGTATACACATAATATATATATATTATAATACAGCAACGTCCTCCTTACGACCATTTATAGTAACGCTCGATTATGTCGCAAGACGGTGGAAAGAAATCACACATCGCGTACACTTTGGGTTTTTAACGATTATGATAACACACAAACGCTATGCTGCAGCAGTTATACTAACTATTATCATCGTTTCGTTATTGGCCATTACAGAATTTGTTAAACTCAAAAGACAGGGCGGCCCTTGTGGCCGAGGAGAATATTATTACCAATTATTTATTGGACCATAAAAACGTTTTAATGGGTCGCCTTTATCGTTGTCGTACCGAATATATAATATAAGAAAACGAGTTAAAGAATAATAATAATGTTTTTACTCTGTCACCGTCCGTTTGAATACGCGTGTGGACGACGGTTTACGGTCAACAACCACTGTAATAATGATAAATATTTTTCAAGAAAAATATTCAAACCGAAAGACCAAATGGACCGTTTCCAGCTTTGGGGGGGGGGGCGGAACGTTAGCAGGTCAGATTTGACGTGTCGAGGACATATTATTGTATTATACTGTAGTTATATGTATATATATATATATATATAGACATAGATATATAGGTATACACGAGGAGGGTTCGAGTGTTTTGCCGGATATTATCATTATACTTAGAGCGCGCGTTGTTGTTGTTATTATATTATTACGGTTGGCCCAAAAACGGGTATCTAATGTTGTTATTAAGCGTCGTACGCACTTTGCCGTTTATATAACGTAATATTATACACATTTTTGTTAGTTCCGGATCATTAGTCCCGACTATATACAGGGCGAGACTGGACGCGCGACGCCAACCGACGACCGAATGACCCTCTCGAGCCCGCATTTGGAATTGCCGAGAGTGTTTATGAAAGGGACTCTAGTACGCGCGATAATTGATTGCGAGTGTGTGTGTGTGTGTGTAAGTATAAAATTTACGATAGGTACCGATGGACGTCACCCCCGCACGCGCTTAATGACCAAACCGGGGGAGAAGTATTTAAAAAAATTGCACTGCAGAAGCGGCGCCCAAAATAGGCCTAATCCTCCCCGCCGGCGCCGCAAAGGGGTCGTCGTTCGTCGCCAAAA